CCACAATGACTGTTGAAGTATGTAATTTGTAACCATGGATGTAGTTTGGGCATATGCAATCTCTGAAAGCAGCAGAATCAGTATACAGCATGAAAACCCTAAGAACAGAGTGGTTTCCCTCCCCCCAGTCCTTTGTCACTTCTTTAAATAACACACACTTTGTCCTTAAGATGCTACAGGTCTGTTCGTGCTAGTGCAAACTGGCAGAGGTCCATTGGCTTCAGCAAAGAATCTGATCCCAGAATGGGATCCAGGAAACCAAGAGTTAGATTTAATTCTTGGCTGTGCCCCAAATTTCCTTGATCAAATTGTTTAGACATTCCTCTTGAACTTCCTAGCTCTCAAAAAATGGAAATAAAACATTTTCCCTAACTCAACACAACGTGAAGAAAGTCTAGGAGCTTACTAAAAAACATGCTGATTGGTTTAATGTACTACACCTAGCAGAGCAATCCCACGCAGAAAACCACCATCAGTTCTGAGGAGCTTACTCCAGAGTAAATGTCGTATCAGTTTTGCAGTCTAAAGCTGTAAGCCTATATGCACTTACTTTGAGAGTGAGTCCCATTGAACTGAATTGGACTTACTCCCAAGTAAACATACTTAGGAATGGGCAGCTAGTCATTAGCTATGTCCAAATGCATAATGTAACTCCTAATATGGCTTGCAGGTCTATGGTGATAGAAGACATGTACTGAAATTATTTGTAGATTTGTCACTTTGGTCTGATCACAACATTTGGCTGAACCATGAGCAACTACAAATCTTCCAATGTTAAATATTTATCAACTATACAACATACATTAAAGTGGTATGAAAAGAAGCAGATTGTTCGTTTATGAAGTTATTACAAGTTGCTCCTCTTGAGCAATGCGATTGCTGAAGTGTCTTTGGAATCTCATAAACAAGCTACATAAAATTATTAGCAACAACGAACCATAATACATTTGTTAAGCAATTCTGTCTCGTTCTTCATTTCAAGAGCAGATCCCAGCCTTTTACATACAGTACATTGCTGGAATAAAAAGTCTTAGCCACCATTTCAGAAATGTTTTCGAGGGCAAGCAATACCCTGCTCTTTGTTCTTCAGGTAATAGTTGTTTTCTTTGTGAAAATTCTACCTGCATGTTTTTATAGGCTAGAGTCATAAAAATATCCCACTGCTGTAGAGAGAGATATGAGGAGGTATTAGCAGGCTGCACCAAGGAGATACAGTATGGTGCTCTGATATAAAGAGATTAAGCACCAGCTCTTATGTCTGGGCTAATTTTGTCCTCTGACATCAGGGATCAGCCTGAGAACAAGCCATGAGAGAAGTCTAGAATGGGAGTTGCATAATGCTTATGCGGAGCAGAAGGGACAAACATGTGACTTCACATGTGTGTGTGAGGGACAAAGAAGAAAGGACGAAACCTTTTCCTTTGGCACTTAGGCATAGAGGCCATTTTGACTGGGAAGGTGGCTTTGGCCTAATGGGCAATGAAAGCACCCAATAACTGGTTTTTTGTTTTGGCAGTGTGTGAACTAGGGTGGACAAAACCTGTCAGGTTTTTTAACCCCAAGCTTCCCAATTTTCCTAACTTAAGTTCTGTTTTCCACATTTCTCCATCCGTTTACAGCAAGCATCCCCAAACTCGGGCCTCCAGCTGTTTTGAGACTACAACTCCCATCATTCCTAGCTAACAGGACCAGTGGTCAGGGATGATGGGAATTGTAGTCCCAAAACAGCTGGAGGGCCAAGTTTGGGGGTGCCTGGTTTACGGTGTATGCAGTTATTTATTTATTTTGCCTCATGAATAGCCATCAGCATTTCAGTGTGCCTTTCTCTCAAAATAAGACAGTTTGTTATGCAGTTTTGTCTGTTATGCATATTTTTTTGCAAACCATTTCCCAAATATATGCAGCTTTGTACACGTTATTTGGTTGGAGAAACTTCACTGAGAAATTAGGAGAAGTGAGAATGTCGAAGGATAGCTGCATTTTAGTTTGCATATTGTTTCAGGAAGTGTTGATTCAAACTGAATTCCTTTTGCCTCCATTGTGTTGAGACAAACCCCACAGATGACAAAGCAGTGGACCTGCTACTTCAGCCAACAGAAAGTCCTTTTAGTCAAAATTGGTACATTGGTTCACAACCAACGCGTAGGAAGTCATAAGCGGACAGCACCTTAGCCATTTTTTGTCTTATTTAGGATTTTTAAAGAAAATATGAAAGATTGGATGAAGGGACCAGATGTGAAGCACTCCTTCTCCCTTAGGAGATGAATAGAAGATGAAATGTCAGAAGTGGAACCTTAATCACCCTTGCGTGAAAAGCTGCCTATTACAAAATACCGCTTTCTTTCAGCTGCTAAAGTTCAGAAGCCCTGCCCTTTTTTGCCCCGTTTTTGGTCACTCTAGTTCTCAGAAAGGAGCAGGCAGAAGAAGGGGCTAAGGTGGTTCTGGGTTGAAAAAGTTGAAGACTTTAGCTTCAGTCTAGCATATGGAGATCCAAATCCTATTTTAGCAGTACGTTCACCAGGCTGCCTTGCGTGAGCTGAGAACAGTGGCAGACCTACATTTTTGGAGCCCTGGAGGTTGAACAGTCATGGGGGCCCCTTCACAACCAGCAACAAGGTCTGGCTAACCACTGCTATCTTCTTCATGACAGATCACTACACTTTTACAACATCTGTGGTACTGACTCTAAAACTTCGGGATTGTTGAAATATATACAACAAAAAATTAATCTGAGTCGTGTGACTCAAATTGGGTGTATTAGACCCCAACATTTTAATCAATGTGGACTAAAGCTGCTTCTGGGGCCCCTCTGGGTTCAGGGGCCCTGAAGTTTAATCTTTGTTAGTTTCATAGGAGATCTGCCCTGGCTTAGAGATTGGATATACACAGGCAAACACACACATACATACATACATACATACAGTGGTGCCCCGCAAGACGAATGCCTCGCAAGACGGAAAAACCGCTAGACGAAAGGGTTTTCCGTTTTGAAGTTGCTTCGCAGGACGAATTCCCCTATGGGCTTGCTTCGCAAGACGAAAATACCTTGCGAGTCTTGAGATTTTTTTTTTCGCTTTTCCCCCCCTTTATCTAATCTGCTAAGCCTTTAATAGCCTTTAATAGCCTTTTAGCAGCTAATCCCCTAAGACTTTAAGCCTTTAATAGCCGCTAAACCGCTAATAGCGCTAATAGCGTTAATCCGTCAATGGGCTTGCTTCGCAAGACGAAAAAACCGCTAGACGAAGACTCTCGCGGAACGGATTAATTTCGTCTTGCGAGGCACCACTGTACATACATACAACTTCCATCGTTGCTGACCTTTGACTATCCTGGCTGGTGCTGATGGAAGTTAGAGTCCTAACAACATCAAGAGGCTGAAAGGTTCCCCTTCCCTGCTATGTAGGAACTAGAGCACACTTCTAGCAATCAGTATGGCAAAAAGCATCAAGCATTTGGGCTGCTGTAACTGCAAGTGCTGTTGGGACGCGGGTGGCGCTGTGGGTTAAACCACAGAGCCCTAGGACTTGCCGATCAGAAGGTTGGCAGTTCGAATCCCCGTGACGGGGTGAGCTCCTGTTGCTCGGTCACTGCTCCTGCCAACCTAGCAGTTCAAAAGCACGTCAAAGTGCAAGTAGATAAACAGGTACCACTCCGGCGGGAAAATAAATGGCGTTTCCGTGTGCAGCTCTGGTTCACCAGAAGCAGCTTAGTCATGCTGGCCACATGACCCGGAAGCTGTACACCGGCTCCCTCAGCCAGTAAAGCGAGATGAGCGCCGCAAGCCCAGAGTCGGTCACGACTGGGCCTAATGCTCAGGGGTCCCTTTACCTTTAACTGCAAGTGCTAGGCACAGAAGTAAATACTTAAGGGAGGAACATAAGCAGCTGTCTTCTATCAAGTCAGATTATTTGCCCATGTACCCCTATATTGTTTTCTCTGCATGGCAACAGGTCTCCAGGATCTCAAGTAGGGATTTTCACATCACTTATTATCAGCTTCTTCTTCTTTTACTGGAGATTGAACATGGGATCTTCTGCATGCAAACTGTATGTTTTATCACTGAGCCGTGTTTCCCCACGAAATGATGGTTCCTAATCCTTCAGCTGGCCACTCTTAATGCAGCTGAATGGGCAGGTGTAAGGTTTTTCTCTGTGCTATGAAAATCTTCTCCTGCACATCACACCGACATTCCCGCCCACCCTCCAGCCGACCAGTCCCTGATCAGTTAACAACAATGGTCTTAATGCCAAACTTCAATATCAGCTCAAATCTCTTAACAATTTACTGAACACGGAGTCATGGGGGGGGGCAATTTGTGTAGGATGCAAACATACCTCCATTGTTCCCTGATGAGCAAAAATGGAAGGGCCAGATCCCACTGTATAAATTGCTCCATTATTATTATTTTTTAAGTAGCAGTTTGTGCTTATCGGCCAATGAACAGCTGAGCTGAGTGAAGGCAAACTGAAGTATTCGTTTTTATTTTACAAACCAGTGAGGATGGGAGGGAGCACCTAGAAGTAGGAATGTCTCCTGCACATGATCTCTCTCTCCCCCGCCTCCAGCACACACAGGACTGCCTGTGCCTTTAAAAGGTTCACGATGCACAAACATGTAGCTTTTGAAACCTTTCCCATGGCTACATCTGTGCAACCAGCTGTCCCTGTTGAATTCCTGCCTGTTGCCAAAAAAAAAGGCTAGCTAATGCTGCTCTACCAGCTTAAATCCCAGCCACTTTACATGAGCTCAGATGCATAGGTTTTGCTGTGATTTTGAAAAACACTGTAGCTCTGGAAAGAGAGAAAGTTATATGGTTGTAGACAGCATAACCAGACTGAATTGAGGGCAGGGCTCCTATCGCTTTAAAGTAGGGGTCTAGGTTTTCCAACTCTAATGGCAACAAGGGTTGTAAATTGTAAGTAACCCCCCTTTTTTCATTAACTGCATTTATTTGTGTTCCAGAGATCTGAAGCAGCAGAGTGCCTCACAGGAGGTGAAGAATGACTGAGAACGCAGCAGCGCCTGCCACCCTCAATGCTACAGAGACAACTGGACCTACCACGCCTCGCAAGGGGCCTCCCAAGTTCAAGCAACGGCAGACACGGCAGTTCAAGAGCAAGCCCCCCAAAAAAGGAGTAAAAGGGTAAGAGTAGCAATTCAGACGCCAAAGGCTTCATTCGCTCACAAATGTGCTTTTAAGATTCTGCATTACCAAACTACAACTATTAGGGCATCACCCCTACTGTAACTACATACGTGTAACTGGGCAGGGGGCAGGCCTTATTTATTCCTCTTTTACCACTGCCTCCATTTCCCTCTTCTTTCCTTTGTTGTTTCCCTTGTGTTGATATCTAGATTGTAAGCCCCTTGGGACAGCGGCCTCTTTTCTCATTCTGAATAATGCATCATGTGCATAAAGGCTGAGGAACCTTTGTCCTTCCTGGTGTTCCTGAACTACAACTCCCATCAGCCCTTACCCAGTGATCAAGGGTGATGGGAGTTGTAGTACAACAGCTTACTGGAGGGCCACACTTTTCCCATTCCAGATGTAAATGAATGATGGTACAGTATGTTGTGCTTCAGGCCATAGACTGAGGTGTGGCAGATATCTTGACTTAACCTGCATAATGCTATAGTCCTAAACATAAATATTGGGGAATAAGCCCCATTGAACACAGTAGTATTTACCTATAAATAAACGTACGTAGGACTGCATTATAAATGGAGCTGGGCTCTGTAGTTGTTTGTAATGGTCTTGTCTTGGTTAGATCACGCAAGGAGACAGAGGACAGAGGAAAGGACTTATGGGGATAGCTTGATATGGTTTATACTATAGGACCTTTATACTATAGGACCTTTGCTGATGGGTCCTATCAGGGTATTTTACAACGGAAAATGCATGAGTAATGGACTGGGGTGATATTAATGTTAAGGTGCTGGACCAATGGGGAGGAGTCCAATGGGAGGAGCAACATTACAGTCGATTCCATTATATGGCCTTAGATTACTCACTGATATACTTTTCATATGTTGTGGCCGTCTGGTTTCGAAATCTATCTTGCTAGTTAAATACAGTCCATTTTATGGTGGGATGGCGGATCTGTGGCCCTCCAGATGTATCTAAGCCAGGGTACACTTCCTGTTCTTGGCTTCTTATGAGACAGCATGATGAGATTGTTTAGCTTAGATTTGATGGCCTGCTGATGAACAGAAGCTCTGTGACTATAAGCTTAGGGAGCAACGGTACAAGCATGTTATCACCCATATTTCCTAGGATATTGTTTCTATATTTTGGTTTGACTTGGGTCTCTTCTGTGTGAATAGATGCCCCTGCGTGGCAAGCCAACATTGGAATCAGCATGAGTGGCATGAGTGAGAGGCTCAAAACACTCTGAAAATTGCAGTTTTTTTGGTGCCCCTTTGTAAGGAACAAATTGATCATATTTAAAGATATTTGTCCCATCTGTTTGTACATAGTAATGCTTAGAAGCAAAACAAGACCAAGCCAAATGCAGGAGCTTGCTAATGGGGAAGAGAATATCCAGGCAGTACAACTTGATCTTGCAGCAGAAAATACACACAAAATCAGCTGTTCCTTTGCATGTTCTCTTTGGTTAGGAAAAATATATCTATTCATAAATACACCAACATATGGTTGCAACTCAAACTCTCTTCTGTTGCTTTTCCCCTAGTTTTGGAGATGATATCCCAGGAATGGAGGGCCTTGGAACAGGTAATTGATAGGCAATATTGCTCTGTTATTCCCTGTGCTATTTTCCTCCACCCCAAGCCATCTTAAATGAGCTTTTCCATCTTGATCTATGTAGGCATAATAAGCTTTCTCTCTCTTTCTTGCAGATATTACAGTGATTTGCCCTTGGGAAGCTTTCAGCCATCTGGAGCTTCACGAGTTGGCACAGTTTGGAATCATCTAATCAACCAGAATCCCTGATTTTGACCGGAGCTCTGAAACAGTCTATCACCTGTGATACTTATTTCCACTCCTTCTCCAAAAATTCTGACATTTAACAAAACAGATGGCTTTGTGGGGTCAGTTTTGAGCAACTTTCTTCTTAGATTTACTTTGCAAGAAAGGGTGTTAAAAATATATCCAACTTGCTCATCAGCTAAGAAGTTGGAATGGTTCTAAATGTTTTTGTGTAAAATATATTGTGTTCTTTTTCTCCCTAAAATTCTCTTTCTATGTACCATCTAGGATTTATCTGTATATATACATAAAAACCCCTTACCTATATGTTTTCATCTCATCTTGGATAAGTTATGAGTCTGTGTGCTTGCATATGCAATCCTAGAAGTCTTTGAAGTTTCACTCATTGTTCAAATCTGCTCCCACGGCTCTCCTGCGCATCCATGAAAATGATCACAAGCTTTGAATTGCATTCCCACATAATGAATATCCAAAACGATGTGTAGGGATGTTTCCAAACATTCCATAGCCATAAGCAGGATACCCAGAGAGTTGCAAAAATAATTACCCATTGTGCCAGGAAAAGACTTTGGAGCCTGCTAAGTTCCATAGACAGTAACACCACAGAAGCCATAAAAAGCAAGGGTTTGATAACAATGTAGACATTCTCTTAATTACAGGTTTATCAATGTAGCTGTTAGATTCCTGTTGCTCTAATAAAAGTTCCCGTTGCTCTAATAAAAATACATTAAAAGCATGGTATTTATATCCTATCACACATTTTCATTCTTCATGAGTAAAGTCTTAGTGAAATCAGTTGCAGAGATTTCCTTTTCTTGCTCTGTCCAAGCTGAAAAGCACTCTCGTTTATTATTGTCACATGGCTGAGGTATGGCAAAGTCTCCCAAGCAGAGGTGGCTGGTGCCCAATTGGACTATTAGGGTAGAAGGCAGGGAAGCCAATGATAGGCAAGAACAAGAGCCAATGACAGGCGAAGTCAACTAATTCTAGTTTTGTCACCACCCTCCTCTGTGCTGAGTTCTACAAGGTCAAAACTGAGACTATGGAGGAGGAAGCTTATAGCCAGGAATAACTCCTGGACTAGTTTTAAGTAAGAAGGCAGGAAGATGGGAGGCTGCCTGAGAGCAGACTAAGGTTGAGGGGGCAATGCCCTATTTACCCTAATGGGCCAGCCACCATGGCTCCCAAGAAGCTTGAGCTTCTAATAAAGCTCTACCTGGCTCCAGAAATTTCATTTACACATGGCTGTATACCTCATGGGTGGCAAGTTTTAGTTAGGAAAAGTAACAGCCTTCTTTGTAATATCCAGTCCTGTTGTGTATACACTCCCATTTGCCCTTCATCCAGGGTGCTCCCACCACTGCTTTAGGAAGTGGTGTCCATATGGTGTTGGCAACAATCCATATCTATCCTGAATCTGTCTTGTTGCTGCTTACAAAATTCTGCATTTTGATGCATTTCCCCCCAAAAGCATCTTCAATCCAAATTGAGAGAAAAAAATTGACTTAGCTGTGTTTTAAGCTGGCAATATAGACACAGCCTGACTTATCATTGAGATCTAGGCACCAAATCACATAACTTACCTCTAAAAGCTGCTTCATAAATTACATGAGTGTACTTTATTTTAGAGGAGAACTCTATATACACCCCATGATTTGCAAGCACTGCTCAAGAATCTGTTTTACCACATGCATACAGCAGAAAATAGAAGCTTGCATGATTCTCAAAATAAATGTCAATGGTGTCTCCCTACCCTGCCTTACACCTATGTATACCCAAATCAGGAAAACACCCTATATGAAGCCGCTATGCTGCCACAACTTAATGGAGATCCTGATAGACTCATGTGACTATAGGACATACATTTGTAGGTAGCAGAATGGTTCATTTTTGTAGCTTTCCACACCACTCCTGCCTTGCGGTCTTACAGCTCCAGGTGATGGTGGCAATGATTATTTACTATCCTGTCTGCATTCATTCAGCCCATTTGGAATGGCTGTAGAAAACTCTAGGCTGAAGTTTTACCCCTATTTAATCCAAGACAAGTTAATAGTGAGGTCAATGGATTAAGTGATTTATACTGTTTGATATTCAGTAAACATTATTCATCTGAGCTCCACTCACCATCTCCTACTGTTGGGTAACTTATTTTTCCCCATATGCTGCTGCTTTTGACTTGTACTGCTTAGTTTTGTGTAGTGTGATCTCTATGAGCCCGCATTTTTACTTGAAAACATCGGTTTGTGCATATAGTGTGATGAACTCAGAACAACACACTCATTGGCCACAGTGGCATGAGGATAGTGTTGCACGCCAGTCCAATTTCTGAGCGGTGCAAGATTCCAGGGGTTCCAGGTGCTTACCCAGGGTTTGTGTCTCCTTTTGGAAATGAGGCACAGTGGAGATTGTGGTGTCTTTATGATATATGGTTTATATTCAGATCTATACAGCCTGAGTCTACAATGGAGGGGTTCACAGCATCAACACCCCAAAAGGGTCTTGTTTCTCCCATAGCCACTGCCTTGGAGTCAAACAGAAATCAAACATCATGATCTCTGACCAGTTTGTTGCTTTTCTTCTAGGTTACATCACACACACACTCTACTCTAAACTCTGGCTCTATCTGTTGAGGGAGGGGGCACTAGCCATTAGCCGTCTCGCACCAAGCCCCTTAATCCCTCTTAATGGCTCATCACCCAGGCTGTCACCTCATGAGAAGGTAACTTGGCTTGATTAGATTTTAACACTTGCTGGATCCAGGGATTAATGGGGGGGGGGGAGTCTGGCACCCACAAACACCATCAAAGCTTTGAAGCTCAAATGTAAGCCTCACCTCTTCTGCCTAAAGGGAAAATTATTAGGAAGCTAGCAACAGTGCTGATTCTAGAAGGTAGAGGTTAGCTATATAAATAGGAAAGGTATTACACAGCATGCAATTCTGAGAAAGAATAGGATTTGTTCAATTATCACTGATTCTAATAAAGGACATCGTAATAACAATTTCATGCAGAGTTGCAGCCTGTCGCAACCTGGTGTCCTCCGGATGTTGCTGGACCTGCTGACTGGGCCTGATGGGAGTTGCAGTCCAACAGCATCTTTGAGCACCAGAGGTTGGGGAAAGCTTTTAGCAACATCTTGATTCTGCATATACTTGAGATCCTCACAGTAATTTTATTTAGGTTTTAAAAAGTGACTTTTTATTTTGTCTTCAGCTGTATTCTGCCTGATCTAGTTTCCTCTCTCTCTCTCAAACATATTACATTTGCAGGTTTAGGATTACTGTCAAAAATTCCTTTTCCTAATTTAGCACTCAGAAAATAATCTGATTCCAGCATCTAGCACAGCTCAGAGCACATTTCCCCTGGGACCATACTACTTCCAATTCCAGGTAGGAGGGGTCACATTCTTTAGTGTTCTTCAGTGTAAAAAATACTCTTGTGTACGAGGAATCTAGTAGCTACTGTACATTTGATTTTGCTTTAGGGTTAACAAGTGGGATTTGTGCAGCACAGTGTTGCAGTTTGGAAGTACTCCTGTTTGGATTTCTGCTTACTCCATTCCATACCCTCTGAGCATGTTCAGTTCTCCTTGGACTGTTCTGGAGACCCCTCCCACCAGCTCCCCCCCCAAAAGTTGTTAATCTTGGAACTGGCATCTATTTCTTGTGCATGAAAGATACTGTTTTGACTGCATGACAACTGGCAGCCAGAGGAATGAGTTTGCTGTTGGTATATATGACTAATAAATATTAATGCAGTGCCAGTTAAAACATGTTTCATAATTCCAGATTATTACATTCCCTTGCATTGGCCTAAATTGGGGTATTCTGCCTACCAGTGTTTCCTGACTGAAACATTCATTTATTGGTTGGGATTGTTGGAACTGTATCTTTGTCCATTGCTTTTTTGTACAACAAAGAAAACTCAGGTATTTTGAAAAATCACCACTACGTTTTATTATACATTGCAACCATACAGGAACATATATATATTTATGTGTGTGTTTATACACATAAGATTATAAACACAGGGAAACACATATATATGCTTCCTAGGAGCTTTTCTTAAGATTCCTGCCTTCTGCAGTGCTAATCATCAAAACTGAAAGGTAACATTTTACATATAAAAATATTAATAAATGTCCAAATGTCATAGTACATATTTCCCAACATATGTACGTCCTTGTTCTTTTACTATAAAATATGAAAATGCAATAAAAATTGTTTTAAACATATCTGGGTATTGCTTGGATTTGATTATTCTTAAAGCTTACGCTAATTACATGTTCCTCTGCTTTAACTTCCTCATTTGGGATGGCCAGGGGTGGAGTGGGGGGGTGACGGGTAGGCTTACATATTGTTGTGGTTTCAGTATGTATTTGCCCCTTCTGCCCTTGCTTCCAATGAGGGCTGGATCTAGACAAATCAATAAAGCATTTCAGGAAAATGCATTGTAAACTTCAAAGTGGGGAATCACGTTGGTGAAAGACAGAACTCCACAGCGCCATCTGGTGTCGCAGTGTTATAATGCATATAAAACACTTTTTCTTTACTAATGTGGCTGAGGTCTCCTGCGTTGTGTGCACATTAGGGTGGGCCACTGTTTCGGTGTGTTCATTTCTGTACCTTTGTCCATGCATGAACACATGCAATGTTATGCCTCGCAAATCAACCTTGATGTTTCCATCAAGGTGCTAGACAGGATGCATTCACACTGTGTGTTGTTCCCTTCCCTCAGTTAGTACTTTCCTGCTCTCTGTAAATTCTGGAAATTGAAGATCCATAATGAGCATGCATGCACATATTTGTGCGTGTGTACACACCACTTTCTAAAAAAATGTGGAACTATTTTTGCAATTAAACTTTTTCAATTTACCCGATTCACACAAAACAGCAGTCTTTTTTTTAAAAAAAATAGATTGCTGTTTTCATTTCCAAGAGATTAGAGGAGAGGCCTTCTTTGTCTCAGGATCTCACAGATCAAGTACTGTAACTGAAAATTGGTCACTTCTCTATAAGCTGTATAATCAACAGGATGCATCATTCCCCCCCCCCCGCCACACACACACACACACACACACACACACACACACACTCTCCACGCCTTTGCTAAGCAGGTGTCTGCAGCTGCTCTCACTTGCTTTTAGAAAGCTGTGCTGGCTGTATCACTTGAGCTGCTGGAGCTAAATCTAGCTGGAAAGTGAACACACACATTTCCTTTAATACAATATTTTGAATATACCAGATTTGCATAAAAGGCCAGCAACAAAATTAAAGAATACGGGTGGCGCTGTGGGTAAAACCTCAGTGCCTAGGACTAGCCGATCGTATGGTCGGCGGTTCGAATCCCCGCGGCGGGGTGAGCTCCCGTCTTTCAGTCCCAGCTCCTGCCCACCTAGCAGTTCGAAAGCACCCCTAAGTGCAAGTAGATAAATAGGTACCGCTTTCCAGCGGGAAGGTAAACGGCGTTTCCGTGTGCTGCGCTGGTGCTGGCTCGCCAGAGCAGCTTCGTCACGCTGGCCACGTGACCCGGAAGTTAACTTTTCTTCACAGGTATGCGGGCGCTGCTACGTTAAGGTCGCTGTTAAAGGGCCGGAAAGGAATTTCCCTGCATTGGCAGGTTTCGCCTTTCCCGTAGCAAAACGTCACAACTTTGGCGGTATCAGGCCTTGGGCGGAATCCTTTAGTCCATCTTCCTCTTTGCGGCGGCGATACCAGGGTTCCCCGTTAAAGGGGTTTCTGAAGGGAGGCTTTGACCGTATGCCGAAAGGTCGTCATTGCTCTCCCCTGCGGCGGCGGCGTAACGGGGGCGGCTATCTCTGCTTGAACATATGTTCTCCAGAGCCGGCCCATCCCCCACACAAACACTGGATAACCCTGATGCTCCCTAGGTCCCCGGCTGGGGACTGGGGAGGGAGAACACCCAATGCCTGAGCCAAGGTCTACCCACATTTGAAATTTAATAAAGTTGTGGCCAATTTAATCCCATAGCACGTTGTCTTGAGTCATTATTCCACATGACGGGGGGGACCGCTCGGGATCTGGGGACTCCGCCTGTCCACGCAAACAGGATCCGTTCTGGAGCCCCGTTCACATCCTGAAGTAAACGTACGACGCGACTGCACATCTGTGCGTGCGTGGGTCACGTTTAGCCACTTTCGCGCATGCGCATGACGTCATATTGAGCGTCTGCGCATGCGCGAGCGGCTAAACCCGGAAGTAACGCGCTCCGTTACTTCCGGGTCGCCACAGAGCGTAACCCGAAAATATTCATCCCGAAGCTACTTCAACTTGAGGTATGACTGTACGGCAAGTGATCCATTGTATGGCAACTATACATTGCTAAATATGTAACCTTGGGGCTCAGCTACATTAGTAAAGAAAAAGTGTTTTATATTCGTTGTAACTGTGACACCAGATGGCGATGTGGAGTCCCGCCTTTCGCCAACGTGATTTCCCATAGTAAAGTTTACAACACATTTTCCTGAACCACTTCTTTGATGTGTCTAGACCCAGCCTTGTACAGCTGTGGTCACATGCAACCCTGGCCCTACTCTTTGGCTATTATCTGGAAAGACCCCTTGACTTCAAAACTTGCTAGAAACAATGATCTATTGGTTCTGAAAGGAAGGCGCACTGTGTCAATATCCCAGGCTCTCTGTACTGGTGATCATTTGTCACAGCCTTTACAGTAATTTCCTCTCTGTCTGTTACCATCCTATATCTAGCCCGCTTCATTATCTTCATTATCACAGCTTCGCCACATATACATGAAATCAGCTTCTGGTTTTCCCACATTCCCAACAATGAAGCTAGATCTTAGCTAGATGGTGGATGATTAAAAAGGTAAAGGGACCCCTGACTGTTAGGTCCAGTCGTGACCGACTCTGGGGTTACGGCGCTCATCTTGCTTTATTGGCCGAGGGAGCCGGCGTACAGCTTCCGGGTCATGTGGCCAGCATGACTAAGCCGCTTCTGGTGAACCAGAGCAGCGCACGGAAATGCCATTTACCTTCCCGCCGGAGTGGTACCTATTTATCTACTTGCACTTTGACATGCTTTCGAACTGCTAGGTTGGCAGGAGCAGGGACCGAGCAGCGGGAGCTCACCCCGTCGCGGGGATTCGAACCGCCGACCTTCTGATCGGCAAGTCCTAGGCTCTGTGGTGATTGGATACCCACAAAAATAACTATATATTTAAACACTTAAATGGTCTACCTCCAGCCTCTACAACACTAACAGCTTCCCCACCCTACCCCCATGGATATTCAAGAATTAAGACTCAAGAATTAAGTCTCAGTTTAATCAGGATTAGTCCCATGTAAGCGTGTTTAGGATTGCAGGCCTTGAGTCCCAAAGAGTGAGTGGCCAAGTTGTCTTATCCACCAACCAACATGCCCATTTTCTTTTGTGAATGGGTGGCAGGTTGCAAGTTCATTAGAAGCAAAGTACAAGTGTTGCAGGCGGGAAAGAGGGTAATGTTGCAATAGCAAGTTCTCTGGAGTGCATTACGTCATTAACATAACCGTATCACTATGGGCACCACAAGTGCTAAGATAAATGATTTCTGAGACACCCTCCCACGATTTGTCTATTGTACACGATCCATCTTTGGATACATGCTGAAGTGCTCTAACAGTGCATGCAAAAAAGTAACAGTATGAACTGGCCTTTTCTGAGGCATCTGTGGAAATGGCAATATCTGACACAGAGTCTAAAACTGCCAATCCAAATCTTGAATTATATAAAGCTCCAGAGGAGTAATGACTCAGAGCTTCTGGGCAGTCACAGGAGAAATAATTATGTTTACATGATGAACCAAACTGGGACTCGGAATGTTATTCTTTGTATGTCATATTATCTGTGCTGACCTGGATGCTCCATGGGAAATGGATGCGTTTTAACAGCACAACATAAACTGAATGCTAAGCCTGGGTTCACTAAAATATCCATTGAGCACTTCAGCTCAGCTCCATATCACTGACCCTAAAGAATGGCTGCTGCACTATACTGTTTCACATCTCCCATATGTCACAATGCCAGACCCATGGGAGGGAAGCTAGGTGGATTTCTTTCCTTCTGAATTTCATAGTCTGAATCATTTTGTGCTTGTTGCTGGCTTGCACAAGGACGTATTGGGAGCTCCCCATGAGATAAAGTCTTTGAAAATGAGAGCATCCAGGAAGAAGCAGTTATATGATTATTAGTAACACTGTAGTAGCATTCACTCATAGATTTATACCGCAGAAAAGGTAAGTTTCTCATTTAAGTAATGTATTTTTTTCATATGATTCAGACATCCCGTTTATTTTTTAAAACCCATAAACACTAAATCCTTCATTGCTTTTTTCCATAACATTTTTCACTAATACCAGGTTTTAAACAACACAATCCCCAAAGAGTGGCAGCATATTAAGAGAATTTTAAATTGTATTTTGAATTTCTTTGCTTTGGAGATATATTTATTAGAAGGGCTACTTCTGTCTCTTACCATGTTCATTCCCATTTTAACAGCTATGAAAAATGCCAGATCTGTAAAAGTTTTAGATGTAAAATGATGCAGCAAGGAGCAGCAGACTTCCTAAACATCTTTACACATAGATGCTTGAATGATCAATCAAAATGACTTTTAGCTTTTGTGCATTATTTCAAATCCTTTTAAAATGATAATTTCCCATTTGGACATGAAATATGGAATATTAGCCTTGCTTCACAGGAGAGGCACCTATTCATACACTTTCCCACTTCTCATTTTTTAAAAAAACAGGTGGCTAGATGTTTGCTCCTGCACAAGACAGGTCCAAAACAAAGCTTCCAAAACAAACAAAATATATACAGTACTGTAATCCTGTCACTAGTTTCCTTTTATCTATTCTTTGTTGTTACTGCCCTTTCTTAATCTTGCTTTCTTATTCTTTCTTAACTGTTAGTAATTGTTAAGTGCTTTGTTATTGTTCCAGTTCATAAAGGGCTTTGTTTAATCAGGTTGTCCTCACTTTGGCAGCACCAATGACCCACAGAACAAAACGAGTGTTTTTTAAAAAATATTTCAGTTCCTACATCTCCAGTGCCTTGTGCCTGCATTTCCTTGACTCAGAAGAAATATCAATGCACCTCAAATATCTACGCAAAGTGGTCGCCTTGTTTTCAGGCAAGATCTTGAGCACCTAGAATAATTAGGTGATTTCCACCACTGCCATCCCTGCTGTGATGGTGTAATACTGGGGGAACCTCCTCTGTTGAATATATATACCCAGCTGAATTTATTATGTTGATTTTGCTTGGCAATTATTTAAATATCCTTAATAAAGATCTTTATTAGCCTGTTGCTTTTTCCTAGGTGGGCACAGTGCGTTGGGAAAATTACCTCTCTTGGGAATGCATCCCTTTGTGTTGGGATTGTGAAATAAACAAACTTGGCAACACTCCCAAATGGCAAGTATACCTGCTTCCCTGATTTTTTTTAAAAAAATCTTTTTTATTGGTTTTACAAATACAAAATACAAATAAACAGAGAATAAAAAAGTATATCTATATAAAGAGATTATCCAAGACTTCCCCCCCATCGCCTCCATGGGGGTCTCATTTTAAACATCTACTACTGCATATTCATCCATACACCAATTTTAATATCAAACCGTATTATCCATCGTAATTTTTACACTACAAGTGAAATCAAAATCCTGCTTTTGTTTCCATCTGCTTACAGTGGTCTCCTAAATAACTTATAATTTTTCCCATTCTTTTATTTTAAAAATTGTCCTCTTGGTTTCTGAGTTTTCCAGTCAGTTTTGCCATCTCGGCATAGTCCATAGTGCTTCCCTGACATTTCATCCATTCCCTTGTGAGGTTCCTGCACCTTGAACGAAAGGGAGAGAAATCCAACAGGTGGGGCTTTTCCGCAGAGCTGGCGGAACCTCACCTGTTGAGTTTCTTCCACTCACACGACCGTGATAGGAACGGGGAGGCTGTCAGATAGCAGATCTAAATAGAGGAAGGGGATGGTGGGACCAGCAGCCCCGGAGGAGCTGCTCTCGGCGACGGGGAGAACGCGGAACCGGCCACAGTTCCACCCAGGAACAGAGCGGTTCGCGGTTGCCGTGGCAACGTCTTTTCTTGGCCTCCTCCGCTCGGAGCAGCAGCCCCGCCGCCATCATTGGCCCGAAGAGGCTGCCGAGGCCACGCCCTCGCTGCGCTGCGCTTTGACTTGGCGGCTGGGCTTTTCCGCCAAGGGCGGGGTTGAGGTTTAGCCATGCGGGGTTAGGGACTTCCCGGCTCCTCCCCACCCCACCCCCGAACCCGGGAATCAGCATTCACACGTTAATTCAAAGGTGAGGGAGGAGTGGGCATGAATGGTGTGCGGGCAACGGAAGGGCGTCTGTGGCACTGAAAGGCGGGTAGGCAGAAATGGGCGGGGGGGGGGGAGACCAGGTGCAGCTCTCCAGGAACGTGGGAATAAGTGCCTCTTGGCTCCTGACACGTATGTTTGTGACATTTACCGAGCCTTGTTGCTCTGGCAGGGTGCTGGTGTTTATAATGGGATAGGTGCTCCTCATACCCGCCGTTTGTTTGTTTTTTTGATTCTCTTTTGCAGCATCCACATGACGTCGTTGGCATCAAAATGTCAGCCTGTGATTCCTTCCCATTTAATCCAGGCCTACTTTTTTCCCCTGAGGAAAATCCTGTGCGTCCTTTGTTTTTAAACAACTTGTTGTCAACCTGTTTGCTATACCTCATTTTCAGTATTAAGCCCTCGTTTGGAAGTGCCCAAGCTTGGCAGTTCAGGGTAAACTCAGTGGTGCGGTTAAATAATTTTAGTTTCTGGCTATAATGGTGTGGGGGGGGGGGAGTTGATAAAGCGTATTATTACTTTACTAACTTCAAAATATGGTTATCCAGTACAGTACTGCTGTATTTGGGGGTGCTTCTCATTCTGTTAAATAGTGCCCTGGAATTAATTCCCCAGATGATACCACTGGGCAAACCTTTGCATTGGGGCTGGAGGTGGGAAAAACATTCCAGGGGCCACAATCACTTTCCAAGGGCCATATCCAAGTGGTTGGTGGGGCCAGAGGCCTTTCCATCATCCATCCAGACAGGCAAATATGCTGAGGTTGTAAAGCAGGGCCTGGGGAGAGTTTATAGACCTGGAGGACCAGTATTGGCCCCTGGGCCTATAGTTCCCAAACACGGCTTTGTGTATGTGTTTGTGTGCACATTGTCGCATTTGGGGTGCTGGAGATGCTTACATAGTGCATTTGAGGCGAGGTCCAGCTTTCTCCCCATGCACGGGACTTGTCAGTATGCTAGTTTGCCTCCATGCATTCCTCCTTATCCGAAAACAACTGTTGAACCTTTATCAAATGTCTGAAATAGCATTTTAATGGGAATGCTGACTGTCTTACAGCCTGAGGGCTGAGAAAAACTGTGATTGCTTAAGTTCTTCCTAGAATATGCCTCTCATTCCAGAAGATTTCTTTTCTACAGTACAGTACTCTGAAATGAAGGCCAAAACTCTAGAAGTGTCCCTCACTTTGAAATTTTGAATGGTACCTGGTTGTAGCTGAATAATTTAAGTGATACCTGGTTGTAGCTGAATAAATAATAAGTGCACAGAATGAGTGTGGGCTGAAACTCTTCATCCTTTGCTTTTACAGTCATCCTTGTCAAATGTGACCTTTATTGGCAACACTATTGATTTACTTTTGCCTAGCAAAACAAGAAAGTGTTTGTGGTGCTCCTTGATTGCTTATTGGCAGATTAAGAGCAACATAGGTTCTTGCTGTCTGTTAATATTTCTTTTCCTTTTTCCCATCCTTTGTTTTTACAGCTGTTATGATTTCCTCAAGTGGGTTCTGGGGGATCGGAAATTGTTTCCCATTTTTAATAGCTCTGTCTTATACAGACAGGGCACAAGGATAGGCAAGCTTTATTGCCCCTTTTCATTCTGGTCAGGGAGGCTGTGAAGATGATACATCTCAGCAAAATGTTTGATTTTCAAAGTGATACATTTCCTACATTGCTGAGGAAAATAAATCTTAACACACAGCAAAACCACATACTGGGTTGTCCATAATCTGCCAGTAAGCAGAGAAGGAAGCATCAGACACATACTATTGTTTTGCAGAAATAGATCAATAGGTATTGTCAATAATCAGCTCATGAGTAGAATCAGTTAACAACTAGAATTCAAAACTTATGGAGAAGTAATTCACTGTATCTTCATAACATGTCACACTGCTTTTGGCTCACGCTGACAAAAAATTATGTTGCTTCATCAGTAATGGCCCTCCACTCCACACGTAAACTGCCTGGCAGAGGGCACAGATGACTCTTTGTCTTTGACAGAATTTGTGCAGTTGATATGCACAGTGAAAGCAACATTTCCCTCTCTTCATTGTCCTACATAAGCCCAGTGTATTGTTGATGTTCCCTTAGCATTATTCAAGACCTTTGCTTTCAACATTGAAAATGAGTGGCTTACGTCTGTGAAATCTGGGACCTCACCCGCAGAAGCCATAGCAGGAGGAATATGAAAGGAGAGTGGCCCACGTACCGATTATTAGTAGAAGTGGATAAAGATGAGCCAACTTTGAAGAAATATGATGAAATCAAAAACCACCTGTCAGATTGGCTCCAATATTTTCAGTTAAATCAAAGATTGTGCATAGATAAGAAAGAAGGTCTTGCAAAAGAAATATCCAAATTCGAAAAAGAGTTAACTCACAATAAAGGAAAACACATTTCACGAATTTACGACTATTAGAATGGGAAGTAAAAGAGGAACAAGTTAAAGTAGTAATGGTAAGGTGGGCGCAGGACCTTGTATACAATATCTACATGGAACAATGGGAAAGATTATGGAGGACAGATATTAAATTCATGGCACCATAGGGAAAACACTATGAAGATGCTATACAGATGGCACCACACCCCTTTAAAACTCGCTAAAATGTATAAAGGCAGGTCGCCAACATGCTGGAGATGCAAAAAGGACATAGGGTCATATTTTCATATCTAGTGGAACTGTGTAGTTATCCGTGAATTTTGAAATAACATCTATAGTGAACGTAAAAAACTATTCAAATTTACATTTGAAAAAAGACCAGAAATCTTCCTATTAGGTATACTACCAATAGAATTCTAAAAATATATAAGACCATTGTTTATGTATGCAATCACAGCAGCCAGAATAATAGTGGTAAGAAACTGGAAAAATGAAATCCTACCAATGATTACAAAGTGGCAGACTTATGATAGAATACCTGCAACTAGCAAAACTGACGGGAAGAATCAGAGGAGTGTCAAACCAGAAGGTGTACGGAGAATGGAAAATATTCAAAGAATAACTAAAATTGCATTGTACAAACAACAAGATACTTACAGAACTAGATTGATACTTGTAAGCAAAAAGTGTATTAGATACCATATCGGATTACATATATATATATATATAAAATGAAATAACATAAGTCTGTGCAAGAAAATATAGACAATACTGTATAAGCAGTATAATGAAAATTATTGGAAGTTTTACATTTTAACCTGTTATTTAATTGTAATATACTGTATTTTTTTCTTTTACTTTATTTTTTTTCTTTATTTGTATTGCTTTTGCTTTGTATGATTTGTTATTTATGTATATATGTCTATGTGGGAAATTAATAAAGATTATTTTAAAAAAGAAAAAAAATCTGAGAAAGCTGACATAGGACTGTAGGAAACTGCCTTATACCGAGTCAGATTGTTGGCACATCTATTCTAGCTTAATATTATCTATACACTGATTGACAGTGTCTCTTCAGGATTTCAGATGGAGTATTTCCCATTCTTAAGGCGATGCCTGTAATCTTTTGCATATAAGGCAGATGCTGTACTACTGAGCTTTCCAAAAGGATGGGAAGAAGGTCCATTCTGTGATTTTTCTCTCTTATGGTAAATAATGATGCAGTGTTTCATCATGAAAGTCCAGCAATGATTTGAAGTCTTATTTTCACTACATTTTTGTGGCAATAACATGGACTCTAGTCCAATAAGGTTATACCATAATAAATTTGTAAGTCTTTAAAGTGCCACTAAACTATTGGTTGGCTTTGGTGGAAGAGACTTAACACATTTATCCCTCTGGAAATTAGAAGCTGTTTATCTGTATCAATGGCTACCCACAGTTATTTTTTGGGAATCTGCAGAAAAGATTAAATGGGAGAATGAAGATTTCAGAATCAAAGTCCCGATTATAATAATTCCAAAGCAATCAGCAGCATCTTCTATGTGGAACATTGCTCTTGAGTCTGCTTATTTTTGGCTGCCTGCAGCAACATTACTTGTGTCAAAATGACTGACAATGGAAACAACTACCTCACTATATGGGTTGATCAAGGATAAACTTCGCCAGGAAGATGTATAGTAGTGATGTTTTCATCAATTTCTCAGAATCTGTGTAGTTGGTGGGCAGCCACGCTCAGGGGCTCTTGTGCCATCCAAGAAGGCCTGAGTTGTTTTTGATACACATCCTACATAGCATCAAAAAGCAAGAGCAAATTATAATTGTAACTGTGCATAGCGAAATTATAATAAACAGATAATCTGGAGATTTATGCTTTGTTCACTTATAAACCTATTAGGTGATACATAGGGCAGTAATAGAACTCACACATCCTATGCTTAAAATGGAAAAATGCCTCTGAGTTGGAAAAGGGTTATTTCATTATATAACAAATACTACTTAGTCAAAGTGATTGGTGCCATGAAACACCTAAAAAACCCACAGGATTCTGGGGTTCTAATGCCTCCTTTTTGTTTGTGACAAGAGCTGCAGTCAAAGTTGCCATAGAGTTCAAACAGTTGATTTTTATGTGTTTTACAGTCTGTGGAGGGGAAAAAAAAGGCCTGGTTTCAGGAGATTATGTCCGAAGATTCAGATAAGGACAAGCAGCGCATAGAACAAATAACCAGTGATGATTACAATTCGGTATGCTCAGTCTTCGGTTTTATACATTATTCTAGAAGATATTATCTATTTCTTGTAATGTTTTATTCGTTAAAGAAAATTTAGTTTTCCATCCCTGAATGGGAATATCTTATTTCTGTGCATGCCAGAGGAAACATGGTCTAGCTGGTGTGCTGTGGTGGTTAAAATGTTAAACCTAGAAGACCAGGGTTCAAATTCCGATGTAGCCATGGGTGGCCTTGGGCCAGTCTCTCAACCTAATGTACCTCACAGTGTTGTTGTGAAGATGAAATAGAGAGAAGGGAAACCATGTACTTCATTCCAAGTATTGATTTTCACCACTGACTACTAAGGAGCATTTATAATCATTCTGGCCCTATTAATCTTCTCACATGTTTCCAGATTTACAGCAGGATATTATGCAGTGAGCAGTTAACATAATTCATTGGACTCATGCACAACAGATTCAGCAGAAGTTTAGAAGTCTATACAGACTTTGGTGGTGGGGGGAAACCAACTCATTTATCTGACTTACAAGGGAGGCATTACTTACATCTTTGCTAACAATCCAACAATTCTTGCTATACTGTTTATTAAACTGTTTATTTAAGGTCTCTAATGGCGTGTCTATTTTTCATATTTTAAAGCCTGCAATCTGTTCTCTTTCATGATGATACCCTCTTGATTTCATTTGCACTGTAGTACAAAGTTAGCAAAAATAAACAATTCAATTATTTCTTTATTTAGAATCATAATGGTCTCTGTTATTGAGTGCACAGTGTCCCATTTCAGATATTTTTGTCCACTTTCTGTGTGCAAGAAACACGTGACCTTACTTTCTGTTGTATTTTTCTGTTGTTTTTTTAGGACGAAGATCCCTTTAACCCATTTTTAACAGAAGATCTTGAGCGGTGTGCCTTTTATGCAGGTCTGAATATTGTTGTTCATTGTCAAACTAGTGAATTGAAATGCATTTGGGTAAGAGTAGAGAAGAATTAGCGGCTAGGTGGAACACAGCAAAGTTCTGGCATGCATAGTGTTGCAAAAAAAGTCTAAAGAAATCATGTTTAGTGTCAGACATGAGGATAACTCGCTGTCAAAATCTAGTAGTGAAATAATATCAATATTTATATGTGGCAATAATCTTTTTGTGATCTGTACAGGCGACTCCCCGCTTATGCAGTGAAATGTGCATAAGTGGAAGCCCCCTGGAGAGTCTTCATGGCTTGTGATGAGACCCTCTCCAGAGCCTGATGAGGGTGTCATCTTTGGGTTCTGGGGAAGGTCTCCTCATGAGCCAGAAAGTCTTTCTAGTTCTTTCCACACTGCTGTGTCGCTGGCGCTGTGTGTGTGCGGTTGTGTGCAAGTAGATCACACACAAGTCTGTGATGTGATGATGGCATGAGGAGAGTTCCTTGAAGCTGGAGGCATAAAGTAGCCACCCTAAAAAGGATATGTGCTAATAGAAATGAAGAAATAATAGCACTTGCAAAACAGAACAAAACCACACACCCAAGTATTTTGAAAGCAAATTCTGCATTTTCTTCCTTAAACAAATTTGATAAGGGAGCCCTGGACCAGTTTATAAATTACTATAAAAACACAGTTGCTACTTTTGCAATGTTGTGTTCTTATACAGATTGATATTTTGTTGTTTTTAATGCCCAGCAGCTGCAAATGAACTTTGTGTTTTAATGATCTTGTTATTTTATAGCTTGTTTGCGGTTATTTGTATATGCTTGCTTTATTGTTGCTTCTTCATGTTCTATAAGATAGAAGCCCTGGGCTCCTTTTGGAGGAAAGGCAATTCATACATACAGTAAAAAAAAAAAAAATACAGTACATGAATCATGTCAGATAGGCAGGTGAGATTATTCTTTTCAATTGTATCAGACAACTTGGCTGTCTAATTTAAGTTATCCAAGGCAAAATGAGTCAATGCCTTCTCTCCCCCTCCCCTAATCTTATAGATTCTTTTTATGATCAACTTTTGCCACGAACCACACAGATTTTATTGGAATATAACTCGGGGAAATGGGTGCCACGGCTTCGTGAACCACGAGATTTATATGGCCTGTCTCCTGCAGCTGGACACCTGAATCTAGTACGCTGGCCCCATGAGTATGAAGTTATCAGAGAGAAAATTGAGCATATTGGTAAATGATATTAAAAGTGTGTTCTGATGTGATAGTTTTGTAGCTAGTTATTAAAGCAACATTTTCCTAAATTATAATTTCTATAGTAAAGCATTTTATAATCCTTGCTGCAGTCAGTTCTTATATTGAAGAAAGTGTGGAATACATACAGTATTATTTTGAATGTTAAAAGGAAAGGACAACAGAACCTAAATAGCCTTATAAATGAATGTGCCCTTAACTTTCATATAGCCCCCCCTTAATTAACAGTATCATTCCACCCTTTAGTTTCATTAGTTGAATGAGAATAGGATTGAGACTACATGCATAGGATCCAACTGTAATGTTTAATAATAGAAGAGCCCTGATGGTTCAGACCAAAGATATATCTAGTTCAGCATCCTGTTTCCACTGGATAGTTGCCAATAAAGTCTGCAGTGCAGTAACATTTGACTTCAAAACTTATTTACGATCTCCCTTTTTTATACAAATTGCCTACTTTTTAAAGAAAAGTCAACTGGGTCAACCCTCTTCAGAACACTTGTGGGTTATTTAATACGTCAACAAAAGAAGCTAAGCTAGAAGGTCTACTGTTATTGAGAAGTTACTGAAATGCAAGTGTGGGATGTAGAACAAATGCAAAAGGAGATGTAGAACTGGAGGAGCACATGGCTAAAAACATTAAGAGCAAAAATTAAATACATTAGAAGCAAGAAATCAGATAGGAGTCAGTATGTTGAATGAGAGGAGATTTTAAAGGTAGGAGAATACATAAATTTCACAGCAGCAGAATGAAGCCGGTGCATCTGACTTCACAATGCAGGGCACAGATTAGTGCTTCTGATCTTTTTCAGGAAAATGTCTGAGGAACTGAGGCAGATAGTGATCATAAGATATTAAGTTATGGGCCTTATTTGCACATTTTAAAAAATTATCAAATCCCCAGTTCTGCATGGTACTCATTCATGAGTTTCTCAAGAACTCAAATGTGAAAATTCCGAGCTTTTAACAAAAGTAAGTTACTCAACCCTAAATTGACCTCAATACCAGCCCAGCCTTTATTCTTGTTTTAAAGATAATTAACAAAAGCTGGGGAATTGTTATGACAATAACTTAATCTGATGTTACATTTTCAATTCCACTTGGTTTTCCAATTGGATAGTAGTGGTTATTTTTATAAGTGCATTATGATACAAATGGATTATTTGTGTAATAGGAATTATGCTTTGAGTTGAACCTTACTCTGTCATAGAAATGATCAGTGGAGATCAGTTGTCTTAAAAATCATGTACTTATGTAACTGATAACAGACGGCCCTCCAAAATCTTAATTAAGTCACTATTTGTAATCATGGATGGATACCATGTTGTTGTCTGTTGCCCCTTTCAGCTCGATTTCTAAATAACTTTAGCTCCTATACATTATTACCACAAGGTTGCATTAGCCAAAAGGTTCTGTTATTTACCAGATAGGTTAAAATGTGTATAAATATGCTAGCAACTAATATAAAGCTGAGGCTCCCAAAACTATAAATATTATTTTGTACTCACATCAAATTTTAGCTCTTTGGCACCATATTTTCCAACTGTAAGTAGAAACCAAATGTAATTTTTTCATATAAGCTGACATCTGTTAACTCTTAGCAACAGTTAGGATCAGATTGCTGTTCATTTATAATCCAACATGTGAAGATGTTTTAACTTAAGGCATAAGTATTAACTTAAAGCATTGGTATTTCCATAATAGGACAATTTTGAATGCCTGCTACAAAATGAAAATGAAATATCATAAAGATACAGAGATAGTCTTAAGAAATTAAGGTCTATCACATATGAAAAGATCATATGTGTAATTGTCTATCATATCCTGTCCGCTTTGGTGAAGCTTCATTTATTTCAGTGGGGATTTCAAGTTGAATCATTTTTGTGCAAGTTTTTTCTCTTGTTCCAAAGTTTGTGGTCTGATACTGACACCTTCTGGAAAAAGCATCCTTCTGCTCTTGAAAAATAATTTCATGAGGAAATGCTTGAGGTATTCATAGAACATAATGAATCTGTGAACTAGATCAGAGTAATCCGTACCTGTGACACATGAAGAGTGTATAGTTCTTATTCTTGAATAATGTTTCCTATAATGTGAACAAAATGATCCTTTCTTATTTCCGGGCCTCCTAAAGGTACAGTATACTAAAGCAAAGTATAATATCTATAGAATCTGGGGTTTAAAGAAATACACTTGACCAGCCAGTCACATACATCAGTGGTTGTTTTAAGTGGTTGTTTTCATTAAAGAATGAGGTCAATTCTTTCTAAAGCATCCTGAAGATGGTGATTTTATTATTAATAATAAGCATGTATACATATTAATATACAACAATGTGTTTACACAATAATGTGTCTGTGAGAGGGGAATTATTGGTTTGTAAATGTTTTTGTTTTATTATGTATTTTGTGTTCTCATTTTGTATTTTTATGTTATGAACTACCCTGTGATCTTCAGATGAAGGGCAATATAATGAACAACAATAAGAAGAAGTGTGCATGCACACGAAAGCTCATACCGATAACAAACTTAGTTGGTCTCTAAGGTGTTACTGCAAGGAATTTTTTTATTTTGTTTCGACTACGGCAGACCAACACGGCTACCTACCTGTAACTAGAAATATAGCAGATGTTTTGTTTCACATTTTCATCACAACAGTGCCCATTGCCAAAAATAGATGCTGATGTTCAGTTTTTAAATTGTCTTGTGAGTTGTCTCTTTGGCAGTGAGGAACTCTTGTAGTAACAATAGCACATGTAAACTTGTACGTATTGCTTCTTTGGATCACAGCCACTGTGTTGACAACATACATGCATCTGCTATACAAATTATGTATATAATGTAATAGAGAACAAGTAGCTGTCCAGATTTCAGTGGTGCAAGGTAATGATTTGGTTATAGATAAGGCTGAAGGTTCTTCTCATAGGCTACAAATGAATCTTGTTAACTTCTGGGGTGTGCATCTCTTTTGTTTCATCAAGATTCTACTGTATTGTCCATGGCATTTACATCTTGATCATGAAAGAGGAGATGACAGACTATCAGCATTTCCATTTAAAAAATAGATTAAATGTATCTTATCAATAAGGGACATGGGTGGCGCTGTGGGTTAAACCATAGAGCCTAGGACTTGCCGATCCGAAGGTCGCGGTTCGAATCCCCACGATGGGGTGAGCTCCCCTGCTCCTGCCAACCTAGCAGTTTGAAAGCACGTCAAAGTGCAACTTGATAAATAGGTATCGCTCCGGCGGGAAGGTAAACGGCGATTCTGTGCGCTGCTCTGGTTCGCCAGAAGTGGCTTAGTCATGCTGGCCACATGACCCGGAAGCTGTACGCCGGCTCCCTTGGGCAATAAAGTGAGATGAGCGCTGCAACCCCAGAGTCGGCCACGACTGGACCTCATGGTTAGGGGTCCCTTTACCTTTTTATCTTATCAATAGTAGCCAGCCACAAAGGGATTTTTAAGGCAACACTTCCTTACTGTTTAACAATGCATAAATATAAAGCTAATTTCATGATTTTTAGTTGCATGACACGCAATGAGTGTTTTGAATTAACAGCTATAAGTAAATATTAATTTATTTGCTTTGTTTTTCCAGAGTGGGTTCCCCCTCAGCCGGAGCCACTATACAGTCCAACATGTCTGGAGACTGAGCCTCTTTGCACAGACCCTGGAGAGGGTGCTGTGGTGTATCTAGCAGATGGAGGTCTGAGCACATTTCATTACTGAGTGCATAATACTTGAAGCATAACCATGTTTGTGATATTAAATGGTTTTCAATAGAAAAAGATACATAGTACTATCTTAGAAGTTACTGAAAAAGAGAAACTGGAGAGCAAAAGACCAAGATCTACAATTTTTTTAAAAGTTGCAAGTATTTATTTAGAATACAAACACCACTCAAAATGCACGTGTTGAAATATAATGGCAGACAGTGGTTGTTTCTGAACAATTAACAGGCTGTTATCCTAAAGATAATGTCATGGGCAACTAGTTGCATATACTTTCTGGAGGCCCTTGATGACAGAAGGCTCATTCTGTATGTATAAGAAACTTAGTTATCCATCTGGGGCTACACTGAGCATCAAAATGAAGATACAAATACACAGTTAAGTGTGAATGTGCATTTGTTTTAAGCTACACACATGTATAGTCTGCAGCTGCATGCAGATCTGGTTTTTTGAATGGGGGAGATTAACATGGGAGCAAGTCCTACTGAATTCAGCAGAATTCACATTCGTTGACATAATGAGTGTAACTGTCCTCGCTCCGGCCCTCAATTCTGCATTCCAGAAATCCCGAAAGCTTTAGTAAAGAGTTCTGTACACAATCTCTGCATCAGCTCAAGATACAGGTTACAAGGTTAAAAGGCACATCAACAGAGTCTAGGATACATGGCTAGACATAAGTGAAGACATTGTTCCAACACATGTTGTGCACCTTCCACTCCGGAGCTCATAATTCATGTAGTTTCCCTCCCAAGCAAGAAGACTGAGCTTGCAGGTATGTGCTCCTGTGGGGATGGATCTGTTTGCACTTGTACTGTCAGTGGCATGCTCTTGACAATGGAACTTGAGTCCAGGCCTGCAATCTGGTTGGCTCCAGTCATTGACTGGCCAGCTCCTCTATTATTGTGGGAACCTTAACTCTCAGAAAGCAGGGTGGGGTTCCCCATCCCCTTCCGGAACATCTGATAGCCCCAGGTCAGGGTCCCCCTCCACATCATTGCTTGAGCTTTCCCCAACCCCTTTCTCAGCCTTTTCATCTGACCGATTACTACCCCATCCCGCTTGGTGGCATGGGGCCCATGACAGTAGCTGATATTTTGAGGCAAAAATATTATTATATAACACATATGAAAGTTAGTGTAAGCATTAAGAAAACACTGCAGGAGTGAACAAAGGCAGTGACACTTGCTTAAAGGGATGCCATATACAGAGGCTATATTCAGATGCTGGATATATAAACCCAATAGCTACCATTTTAAACAGCTGTCTATATGATGCTGAATGCTTCTTGACCAAGTTTTAGTTTTGAAATTCCTAAGGGAAATCAGGCAATTCTGCAGTGGCACTAGGACACCACCAAGTGGGTAGTCTCTGAGTGCCCCCTCCCTTCTTGCACAGAATCTTTTTCTAATAGTAATTCACAACTGAATAATAATTGTATATTTTGCTTCTCTCACTAGCTGATAAAGAGTCCAGCTTTATGTATTCTCGAATAGGGGGGAGCTTCCCCTCAAAGCAGGTGCTTCCTCAATCATGGGATGACTGGGACAATACTTTGATCTTTGAAGCACGATTTGAAAGTGGCAATCTGCAAAAGGTGGTCAAAATGTAGGTTGCTCACCATTTCCCTTTGATTTGCAATAGTTGCTGGTTTCTGTCTGCATTTGTTCTGGCGTTAAAGGGTGATATCCAACTAAGTAATTACTCGAAGTAGTCACATTGAAATCAGTAGGTTGACTACTTAGACTGAGTATGGATATCACCTGTACTCTTGTTTTGGCAGACCTGGATTAATAGCTTAGAAAACTTGAAATGCAGATATCCATATACACTTGCAGGAAAGTTTGTATTGGCTTATTAGAATCCCAGAATCACACAAAGAGGACTAATTTCTGACCACCCAGCACTTGTACAAAATATAGGCAGTCAGGACCACAAAAACGCTCCAAATGTGTGAATTGGTATGTAATCATATGTGAATCAAAATAAAGCAGTAAGATAAAACAGCTAATGAACATAATTGTAAAATACAATATATATTGAAAGACATAAGAGAATATAACTTAACTGCTCATTCAAGACATCTGAGAATTTGATCTAAGCTCACCATAAGGATCATGTGGACTATTTTTAAAATACAAATATGTGCATGAACAAGTTCCTTATAAGTTTATTATAGGCAACAAAATCTATAAACAATTTTTTGTGAAAGAAATTTGGGTTTAAAAAGATACATTTGAAATAAGAGAGATACAGGAGCAGCATATATCATGTTTCATAACTGTGCCTGAATGCCCAACAGTATATTTTATACTAAAATACTTTTCTCCTTTTCCCATGCCAGTAGTGATTTTGAGTACCAGCTGACACTACGCACTGATCTCTACACAAATAAGCACACCCAGTGGTACTACTTCCAGGTCACCAACACCCAAGCAGGAATGCCCTACCGTTTCACTATTGTCAACTTCACCAAGCCAACAAGTTTGTATAATCGTGGTATGCGTCCGTTGCTGTATTCAGAAGCAGAAGCAAAGATCCACAAGGTGGGGTGGCAAAGGACAGGAGATGAAATCAAGTATTATAAAAACAATCTCGGCCAAGGTGGGCGCCAGTATTTTTCCCTGACATGGACGTTCCAGTTCCCGCATGACAGGGATACCTGCTATTTTGCCCACTGCTATCCTTACACTTACAGTAACCTGCAAGACTACCTAGCAAACATTGCTGGAGACCCAAGGCGGTCCAAGTTCTGCAAGATCCGCATCTTGTGCCATTCCCTGGCTAGGAACATTGTCTATGTTCTAACCATCACTAACCCCTTGCAAGATTTTCAGGAGGAAAAACGCAAGGCAGCGGTGATTTTGACTGCCAGGGTGCACCCAGGTGAAACAAATAGTTCCTGGGTGATGAAGGGCTTTCTGGATTACATTCTGGGGGATTCAAATAATGCCCAGTGGCTTCGGGACACTTTTGTTTTTAAGGTGGTACCAATGCTGAATCCTGATGGTGTGATTGTAGGCAATTACCGCTGCTCTTTAGCAGGCAGGGACTTAAACCGCAACTATAAATCGGATCTCAAGGAATCATTCCCTCCCATCTGGTGTACCCGCAGCATGATCAAAAGGTAAAAAGGTAACACCATCCCTCTTCTGTGTCCAGTATCACCACTCTTTATTCATTATTATACCAATATTAATTAATACGTAATGTGTATTCATCTTGTTGCATTGAACTTATTTTTTGTTCAAATTTTGTTGAAATTTTAGGTACATCTAAATGTTGTTTTAATACTTTCCCTGATTGGCATGTAGAAGGCCTCCAGGAAAATCATGAGTTAGCACTCCCTGCTGCTGAGGACAGGCAAGGACATGTGATAAAGTTAGAATTATAAAACCAGCAGCAGCTTCTCAAGCCCATCCCCACTTCCTTTCCCTGCCCAGCCTAGGATAGAGTATTCCTTCAGCTTCTGCTAGAATTCTATTCAAGACATTTTATCTTGTAATTATTAGCTTTTTCTCTATTTGCTGAACTTTAGCTCGTTCCTTTTTTTGTTTTCACCTGTTTCCCACTGTGTCTTTTAAAAAAGAAAAGACTAATTTAGCTGCTCTCTTTCTCTGGTTTGGCTGTCTATCCTTCATGGCTTCATCAGGAAAAGCCACTTCTGCTCACTGGTTTCCCATGGGCATCTGGTTTGGCCGCTGTGAAAACAAGATGCTGGACTAGATGGGCCATTGGCCTGATCTAGCAGGCTATTCTTATGCTCTTATATGTATAGAAATGCTCTGAGGGGATAGGGGAAACAGCCCTGTGTGTTTCAAATATTTAATTTGTACATAGAGCTATCAGTGATCTTACAACTCCTGACCTCTCTTGCTGCATGGGATCTGGCATCAGTCCAGAACATGAGAGCCCATCAGGAAGTCTGATTTTCTTTTTCTTATGTTTGTTTTCACTCTACCTACTTCCCTGGGAAAAAACCAAACTGCAGTCAAGGTGGTTTTTGAGTTGAGGGTTTAACGGCAGGTTTGTCTGGATCTTAATTTGGACCATCTGTTTTGGGCTCAGATCTGGAAGTTAGCTTTGGGAAGTCACATTTTCCTGAAGGCCTCCTACACACTGACCAGGAAATGAAACTTGTTAGTCATTGTGTGTGGGGGTTCTGGTGGGCATGCAGGAGGTCTCCTTCTCCACCCTGGCTTAGTACAGATGGCACCAGTCATCACTGGTTTTTGAATGTTTTAAATTACCTATTTTTAATGGTCTTTTACTGATAATTTTTATTTAATGTAACCTTCTTTGAGGTTTTATTATGATAAAGCAGAACAAACATTTTATTAAATGTAAAATGAAATAAAAATAAATCATCTTAGTCTTTGGGGGTTTGGTCCTTCCAGTTTAAACCATGCCTTTTTCAGAGGTGTTTTTCTTTCCTTTCTGTATGTATGTGTGTTTGTTTGTTCCTTCAGTCGCACACTCTCTCTTTTTCTCTGTCTTTCAACAATGTTTGGAACTTGAAAGGGGCTGAGGAATTGGCTGTATAATTCTAACTTATTCATATGCTCCTTCCTTCCTTCCTTCCTTCCTTTCTGGTGATGGGTTTAACACATTGTTTCAATGGAAGACTCCTGCAAAGCCACTGGAAGGGAATATTCACAGTGAAGTAACCAGTGTTCCATTCTAATGAACATAGACTGGAAAGACCAACCTCTGGAGAAGGAAGGGAATTCCCCTATACCAATAAAGGGGACTATTTTCCTCAACAAAGCTCTTTAATCTTCTGTTAACTGTGTTTTTCACATAATGACCGCAACTTATGTTATAGCTCTGTTTTTTAAACATTTGTCACGTGTCGGCTGCAATGGAAAAAGCATTTTCATATTGTGCATTTAGTATCTGTCATTGGAAAGGCAGTGATGGCCTAATAGGTGCAACTCAGCTCTTATTGGACTCAAGGGAAAAGCTCCCCTGACACTAATGCAGCTAACCAATGCCCCAGTGCAGGTTGTTCCAGTAGAAAAACAATCCGTCAAGCAATGATCATCTTTAATACATTTAAGAGATTTCCTACAATTGCTATCATAACTCAAAAAATCAATTGCAGAAACCAAAGCTGCTCTTATTTAACTTTCTACCTTGTTACAGAATGATGGGAGAGCGCAAGGTTCTCCTATATTGTGACCTTCATGGTCATAGCAGAAAAGAGAATGTCTTCATGTATGGCTGTGAAAAACGAGATCATCAAGAAGAAGGGGCAGGCTTACATCAGCGCGTTTTCCCTCTCATTATGAGCAGACGTTGTCCCGATAAAGTAAGCTGACATTTAACATTAATATGTAAGAAATCATTTCTTTCAGTACATTAAAAAATTGCTAAATCACTTGACAGTTTCAATGATCTAAACATTGTAAGAAGTTTGTGCTTTAAAAATAAGGGATTATATTGCGATAGTTGTTAAACATACTAGGAGTTTCCTTAGTGAGTCCCTTTAGGAGCGTGCACCATGACATGAAGTTATTATATCATGCATTTCCTTCTGCCCCTGCCCTCTACCCCACATCTGTAACAGCCTATAATGCACAGTGGGTAAGGGGACATGAATGACTTGACAACATGACATCACCAGTAAACCAAACTATGTGTTGAGGAAGACTGTGGCACAGGGAGGCCATTTCTGGGCACAGCTGTATAGTTTTGGCCTCGTTGCAAAAGTGCAGTAGTAATTCCACTTCTCTCTTTGTTAAGTTCTCGTTCCAAGATTGCAATTTCAAGATACAAAAAGCTAGAGAAGGGACAGGTCGAATAGTGATGTGGAAGATGGGCATCAGCAACAGCTATACCTTAGAAGTTACTTTCTGTGGGTCTAAACTGGGTAAGGCAAATATAGTTTTTCTCTAGAATCTATATTTAAAGCATTCAAAGACGTCTCATGTCTTGTAGCTGCAGATTTTTTAAGAGATAATGTGAGCTTATTGTGTTTGACAGATAAATACTACATAGGAAGACATGTTGAAACGTTAATGTTATAGGTGTATATTAAAATTGCATTTGGCCCAAGAAATAGTGGTTGGGGTACCAAATGTAACAATTACAGGGAGTAAATGACTACAGAAGGGTGGGATTTTGGCTAATGAGTTTAAAACTGAGTTTATGCTTACCTGAAAGTCAGTTAAGCTGTATTTACAGTTTAACAGTGATTCCGTCTTTGGGTATTGTAGTTCTTTGAAGTTGGGTAGGTAGGAATCTCTAACACAGAATTCTCACACTTTCACAACTTTGAAGCTGTGGTTGTTGAACTGATATCAAATATTTATCTACCTTATACTGTAGATGTGTCCTTGGTGAAGGAATCAGACTAAGACTATTTAACAAGAAATAGCAATCTTTTATATAGTTTTGTGTGGAAATTATTGGTGTTAATTTGCATCCTACTGTCAACCTTAGATGGCAGATAAACACTTTGGGAGATGGTAGAAAATAATGGGGAAAAGTGTGAATGTGAGGCAGACTAATCTGCAATGGAGCTAAGGCAGAAGTGTACTTGTTTGGTTTATCTGTAGATTGGGCTATTTTAAAAAAGGTAGCTGAAGGTTATAATTGGAAAGCAAAGGGTATAATTGGAAAGGCAAAGGAATGGAGGTTCTCAAAAGGAGCTATGGGAAGAAGTTTTGGAATATGGAATGTGAAAAGTCATTTGATGATCTTTTGAAAGTAAAAGATTTAAAATAAATATAAAATGTTTTGCTAACAAAAAAGTGTTATTGGGTTGGTAGCAGTCCAAATTAAAATGTGGAATTCCATCAGTGGAATTAAAATAATTGCTGATGTTGAATAGGACAATTATTTCTTCACTGGTGACTGGTTCCCCCCCCCCCCTTTTCCAGGCAGTAGACATGGTACCCACTTTAGTACCAAGGATCTAGAATCCATAGGACACCATTTCTGTGGCTCACTGTTGGACTTCTGTAATAAAAAGAAGAGTAAGGTAATGCAAATAAACATTATTTCTTGCAGCAATATCTGCAGCAATTATGTACTTAAAGGAATACAGTCAAAGTATTTATTATTATTTGGAAGTAGTGAGGCAGTAAATTTTATTGTTAACAGTGTGTGTTTTTCCTTAGTATAACGACTGCCTGAATGAACTGGAGGAAATGCTGAAAAAGGGTGATCTATCTGCCTTTGTCAATGACAGAGATTCTAGGTAAAAGGACCTCTCCTAACAATTGTTTTATTTCTAGCTTGTTATTGAGGAAATCAGTGCCATGCTTTCCAGATGTGTTTGCAGAGCAGATACTTGATTTGTTGTGCAGACAAATTCTAGAAATCCATACTCTTGTAAATGAAAATAAACATAATTATTTTTCTTTTACAGTTCTGACAGTTCAGACTCCAATGAGGTTACCGTTAAACTAGAAGCCCAGGTACGATATACATTATCATCAAAAATTCAGCTTTAGTAAGATTTTACTTGAAATTAATTTCCTTGACATGTAATATAATGATATACAGAACAGTATACTGATGTTTAGTTGCAATGTGTCAAAATAATATAGACACACCAATTTTTTTATTCATAAGAAATATACTGGAAAACAAAAAGAAACAACTAGCAGTGCTTGATTTATAATGTAGAACACAACTACTTTATAATATCAACTTGAATGGCAGATTTAGAATTCTTCATACTATCGGAAACACGCTTCTCAATATTAACTGACATATCAACTATTCTTCTGTAAATTGTATCTTCAGACAAAGAAATTTTCACAATCAAGGCTCAGGCAGGCTTAATTGATTTTTCCTGCTGTTGTATGTGGTTTTGTCTGTTGAGCAATCCATTCTGTCACTTGGTAAGATATACCAGTAATTTGCATCTTATCTGAGACTTTTACTCATTTTTTGAAATATGTTCACTGGTATTTCTGCTGTTCCAAAAGCCTTTCAAAATATTGAACCTTCTTGTTCGCCAGATTTCCTTGTTTTTACAGCAGACGTCTTGTCATGTTGTTTAGGGCCATGTTGGAATTGGAAAGCTTCTCACCACAGATCAAACACATAGGCTGAGGGACGTTTTCATCTCCAGCCCGTGTCAAACTGAGACTCAGATAGATATCCACATATTGCTGACAAACGTGGATCACTAGGATTGTTTTCAGTATCATTTGATGCACTTATGCTCATTTTGAAAAAATGGATATCCATATTCTGCAAATAAAAAAAAAATTGATACTGTACTACACTACACTGAAATGTTTAACTATTTCTTGGATTGTCCTTGAAACTTTCCACCACACTTGCCATCCTTTCCTGCCAGGAAGTCTTCTTCAACCAGACACAGCAGACCACAATATTGTTATTGTGAGTAGCAAGTGGTGGCACCTAGTTTTGCTCTACTTGTCTCCCTGCACAGCAAGATCAGTTCTGTCTTCTGAGAGGCCCAGCTCCCATCATCACTGAGGGAGGTGGGATGAGGCAAGAAGCAGCTGGCTGGGCACAGGCCTTGCCTCCCTCTCCCAAGACTTATAGCATGCACTTCTTGTTAGTTGGGGACATATGAAAGGTGCAGAATAGGTGGGGCTGGACAAGACATACACACAAACTGTGAGTGATAAATCAGTAATCAAACGTGGAGAACATATGCTCAAAGAGGGAAAGATGTCATGCTAAAAAGTTGTTTCATTTAGGGGGAAACTAAGCATTTCAAGAAATATTACTTTGGTGCTACTGACAAAAATAGAAACCCCAAAATAATAGTCTTCATCTCTATCAATAACATCTGATACAATTTACCCCATCCCTTGGCTGACATTGTTACACGGTGTTTCCACCCCAGTCCAGTCACTGGGTGCACTGGGCTCCAGCCATTGATGTGGAGGAGAGTGAGGAGATGCACATTATATTTTCAGGAAATCCAGATGAATTGTGTTAGATTTTATTGAGGAGGATTTGGGATGTGAAATGGGGACATGTCTGCCATTTAGTTGTTCACCATCTAGTTGACACAACATCTAGTTGTTCCCTTAAATCCTTTTGAGTTACTAAGATATAAGAATAAAATTTAAAGGTTAAATAAAGGGGGGGAAATAATGTAGATAACTGTAATCCTATTAAACCCAGATATACATTTTAATTTATTTGTTTGTTTGTTTTGCTTGTTAGGCAAAACCAAGAAAGAAGTATCTGAAAACCAAGAAAGAAAGGAGTGCCTTTCTGGTGTCATCAGGAAGAAGGTTTTCTAAACAACCCCATGAATCAATTGTAAAGCAGTATTATTATTATTATTATTATTATTATTATTATTATTATCATCATCACTAGGTATTAATGAGATTAGTAGGGTTGCCATATTTTGAAGAGCAAAGAAGAGGACACACACACGCCTCCTTGATTTATTTGTTACTTCCCATGCCAGTGGCCCTTATGCACAGCCAGTGGCCCTTACGCTTTGTGACCCCCAACACTCCCCCTGCCCACCTACAAGGGGCCACAGTCTATTGTTATTGTGCATCACAACCCAAGCAAAGCAGTCAGAGGTTCCTCAAACTCTTCTCCTCAACCCATATACCCAACACCCTCCTCCTGGGTCTCGCCCAGGCATCTGTCAGAGGAGGAGAGCCAGCAGGGAGAGAATTGGCAGCACATGGCATCTCGTGCACCTCCTTCACTGCTGCTGCTGCTGTCTCTCTCTCTCTCCCTCTCTCTCGTCCTCTCCTCACAAACCCAGTTCCCACCTCAGCACTGCCCACCAATGGCCGGGGTGTGAGGGAGGGAGGAGGCCTGGCTGGCCAAGTCCTCTTTCCACCCTGACCAACCCTGTTGGAAAAGGCCAGGAATGCCATGCATTAGATGGACCATGTCCATCTAAACAAAACAAAAAACAAAACAAAAACCTCGGCCATTTTGCTTAATTTTAAGAATCCTCCCAGACAGACATTTTAAGCCTGAAAAATAGGACATATCTCGGAAAATCCAGACGTATAGCAACCTTAAGTATTTCTATATGATGTATAACACTGACAGAAAATCAGAAGAATAAGCACTGTGCGATTTATTGTTTAAGAATATATTGTTGGCCTGGCAAATGCACCAATGTCATGAAGATAAACCAGGATTTTGTCACCTAAGAATTGTTACTTGACCTTCAGGATTCTATCATAAGATCAGGAACACACTTTATTCTTCACTTCTTAGATCCATCACAATAAAGTTATATACTGAACTAGGAAGATCCAGTACTTATTTGAGCAGACTGGTGCAGTTCAGAAAAGGTGTCTTCAGTACTTTCTTTTGTGGAAATAGAAGGAAAGTGCATCTTGAAAATTCCTGAAATATTATGAGAGTATTTTGTTTACTTTTGCATCCTTTTAAGTATAATGGTTTCTCTTATAAATACAGTAATACCTTTCTTCCTGTTTAGAGTGAAACCAAAAAATCAGAAGAATCTTCTCACAGAATTTCCAAGAGCCATGAACAAATTATAAAAAGTGTAAGGATTTCTATATATTGTGAAAGATCTGTTGTCCTTTTGTGAACAGAATAGGATTATACAGTATACAGCACAATAGTTAACTGACAGCAAACATTCGTTAGTCAAATCTCCTGCTTATATGAATTCTCAGGTATACTCATATGAATACAGTGGTACCTCTGGTTACATACGCTTCAGGTTACATACGCTTCAGGTTACAGACTCCGCTAATCCAGAAATAGTGCTTCAGGTTAAGAACTTTGCTTCAGGATGAGAACAAAAATTGTGTTCCGGCGGCGCGGCAGCAGCAGGAGGCCCCATTAGCTAAAGTGGTGCTTCAGGTTAAGAACAGTTTCAGGTTAAGTACAGTTTCAGGTTAAGTACTTAACCCGAGGTACCACTGTATATTTGAAATGTTTGATATTTTTAGTAGCTGTTTATAATTGCTCTTTTCCTCAAGTATTCAGACAAGTGAAAGTTTATACTTGATAAGTATAAACTTCTTTTTTTCTTTTTTTAAAGCCTTTTTGCAGTACTGTTACAGTTACTACTAATAACTGTGAAATACAGTTATTCACCAAATCAGCAAGGGAGATACTAATGTGTATTAGTATCATTAAGGATGTAGTTGTACATCTCTTTCATGTTTCTGAGCTGGGCCCATTGAACAGCTTTTTTTTGAAGAGATCGTCTTTTGAAGAGAGAGCTTTACCGGGGGCAGGGGGCAGGCTTCTGCTGGGGGAAGGCAGAACCTCAGTTAATTGAGTACTTTCAATGCTTTTCAATAATTTTTGTGGCCCCCCCAATGGCTATGCCCATGCCATGGTATTATTTTAGTTCTTCCCATGTAAGTGAAGTGACTGGTAAGTAGTACATGTTTCTCTTTCTCCACAGACCCAGGTTTTTCAGAAACTGAAACCAATGGAGCTGCAAAACATACGAAAGGAAAAATATGAAATTACCAAGCAGACTGTAGAACCTTTGTCCAGAACACCCAATGCTAAAAAGGTTTGGCTGGCCCATTAATAGAATAATTTTCCAGATAATCAGAAAATGCATATAGCTTTATGTTAGTGACAACCAAAAGCAGAGTTTGACTTTGACATTAGGAAAAGCTAAAAGGATGCTGTGTCCTGTTGTTAAAGAGATATCTGACAATGTAACATTACCGCTTAAAATAAATAAATAAATTGCAAAGCACACATATTATTTAATTCCTGAAATAGAACAGCATTGTGGAACCCGCTCTAGTTAAAAGAATCATAGTTCCTTTAACTTTGTACAACAGTGCTTGGACAGCAGACTGTAAGGTCACCTGCTGTTTCTTTTATCTCCTAGAAGTTGTTAACACCGAAGGTCCTCTACCTTTGTTTTAAGACTTTCAGTAAAAGTGATTAAAAAAAGCTTTGTAGCTTTATTCAGAACAATCAATTAAATACACTGAGTAATTATTTCATTAACTTTTAGCAGGCAGATATTCTGTTTTACAGAAATGTATTTTAAAGTATGGTCCAGTTTAAAAGAAAGGGATATAATTATATCTCAGTTCCCTGAAGAGCCTTTAGTTTCAGCGCAACAGGCAGTTTAATCATGCTTTTCTTCATTTGTAATTATCATAACATGCTCTGTGGCCCTTAGCTTCCCATATGCAGAAAGAGAAAGGATGATGTGTCTTTAAACAAGCAGTTCTTACGAGATTATGACTACAGATTCAGAGTATTCTAATTTGGAAGAATCTGCTCATTCCAGGGGTTAGTGGCTCAAAATTAAGAGCCAGGGTAGACATTACATACAGGAAAAAATAAAAACAATACTCATAAATCCCAGATTGGAATCCATTAGTAATTCATTTCAAATTGGTTACACGGACCATCTGAAAGTAACCCAAAGCAAAATGGTGAGTGATTCAGATAAAACCAGAAAATATCAGGGATCGTGAAGGAAAAGAAACTAAGAGAACTTGCTCTGTCAACCCACTATGCGTGCCTATTAAGCCCTCTATGGATTAGTTTAATATGGTTTGAACATCTTTTCATTGAACAAAAATATTCCACAACAACCCAAATCTAGAACTTGCTACAGGGACAGAAGCTCCATAAAACAGCAAATGTTTAAGAACAAGTGAACAAAGCTGTTAATTTACTGCTGAGAGACTTGGAAGGTCCTTTCCTGTGACCCCTGTTTCAGGGGGTGAGAGAACTTATGCAGAGTACCTGATAGCTGCAATCCACACACAGCACAACATTAATATCAGCCAACATTAATATCGCATGCATCCAGATGACTGATGAGACTATTATGTGACTAGCACAAATAACACAGGTTTTTGTTATAAGCTTGCTTGCATCACTGCAGGAGTGTCTCCAGACAAAATGTTTCTGCCTTTCTAGGAATGCTCTGAGCACTTTTGGGAATGCGCTAAGGAGGAAAATGGGAAGCTGCCATACAGCGGTTGGGTCGGCACCAACACCTCCTTCCACTCCAGTCTGAAAGGAAGACGGAGGAGACATTTTGAGGTAGCAGAAATGGTGTTGCATGGAATGACCCATTACTGACTCTGCAGTTGCAAATTACGGCTAGCAAATTGTCATGCAGAGTCCTTATAATGCTTGCTTGCTCTCTCAACCTTATTTCCATATTTGCATTACAGCGATATTTGCTTTGCTCAGTTTATATTTTGAAGAGCTGTTCCCAGTTGTGTGCTTAATATTAGGAGCCTTGATGGATCATTAGCCTGATGCTGCAAAGGAACTCCTCGTATCTATAGAGCAGTGATCTAGAAAGGGCTGGAGCTATTTTATTAGGAAACCTCTACTTTAGGAAAGTGATGGCTAACCTGTGGCTCCAGTATATTGTTGGACTCCACCTTCATAAATCCTAGTCAGTGTGGCCAGTAGTGAGGGATGATGGGAGTTGTAGTCCAGCAGCATCTGGAGGCCAAAGGTTAGCAACCCTGGTTTAGTCAAAACAGATGCATGAGTAAATTTTGCTCTTGGACTATGATATTATTCAGTAAGACTGTATGGTATAATGTTACCATTTTGACTTGTTAATGGTGGCTGGCTAAAAATAAAAACAAATGCATTCAATAGGGTTTTCACATCATTATCTGACCACACATTCTATGTGGATATTGCTTAGAAACATTGTGTCAGGGAATGTCAGCTATATGGGGAATGTCTTTTCTGTAAGCTCCAGCCATTCAGTAAGCCAGAGTTGACCACATTCCTGCCAGTGTCACAGTGTATACACCTTAAAGGTGGATTATACAAATACTCTGAACTCTTTCCTCCCCCCCTTCTGTTTCTTAAAAGGGTGCTGCTTTCCTTTTTGATATTGCAATTGCAATACTGCATGGGTTGTCAGCATGTCACAACACAAGCAGGACAGCTAGCAGGTATCTGTGGCATTTGGACAGAGGCAGGAAGGCACACATTTCAGGTTAGGACATAGTCTCAGGTGTTTCCGCTTGCCTCCCTTTCCTATGCTGTGCTGCTGTTTGCTTCCCAGACCAAAGCCAAACTACATCAGAGACACTAAGCAGAGGTTACACTAGAATGGTACTATCCCATACTTCACTGCTATGATGTTTACGTGGCGTCCATTTTGAACATTTCCTCCTGTGCTTTGAAACTCCAGCTAACAGTTTGACAAGAAAATGGTTAGCAATCAAATATTATACAGTTTTTTTAGCTGGAGTGATAGTTTCTAAAGAAGAGGAAAGCTTTCTTAGTAAGTAAAAAGGCAGGGTACATTTTTTTAAAAAAATAAGTAATTACATCCAAGGGATGATAAAATAAGCCTTAAAGGCTGAAGAACTACTTTAGACATTGCATACACCAAAATCTCGCAAGCACACAGATCCTATACTTTTCGGGTATAAAGGCTAATTTGTTCATTTGGGGCAAGGATATGCTTGCATAACAAAACTTCCCCACCCACCCTATCTTGTGTGTCCTGCATTATCCTCAATTCTGCTCCAGAGGATTGGGGGAAACCTCAGCACAGGGGGAGGAGAGGGACGGAAGTGCCACAGCACAAGCTTATGCTGACAGAACAAGTTAATTAGTGCTGCATTGGATATAACTCTACAGTTCAGTGCTTCTTTACAACAAACTAATTTCAGGCTTCGGGTGGGAAGTTTAATAACAATGCATTTGCCTCCTTTTACTCTTGCAGTCAAAAGCCTTAGCAGGGATTCATAAACTCCTCAGAGAAACTAACTCAATTGTAGAAGGTAAACTTCATGAAATGTCATTTGATTCTCAAACAGGTAAGAGATAACATGGGCAAAACAGTTCTATGAACATGTGAACCTTTTCGTTTGAAAAATTAATATAGGTATTTACAAAGTTGTAAGAAAAGAATTAATTTGTTTTAGCCATAGTCATCATCAGTGCAGATACAGCGTCATGCCATTAAAGCAATCCATGAAAGGGAAAGAGGAATTCATGCACTGAGTATCTGTGAGGCCATGGCATGCTTCTAGAACATTGCATCTACACTGGACAATAGAATGGTGGCATGCAGATAGCAGCCTCTGCTTTTTGTTCCCTATTCAGTCCAATGTACAGAACAATTACAGCAAAAGAACTGGGATTTAATAGCAACTAACATTGCATTTCTCATATCTTTTATGGGGAGCTTTTCTCACACTATATGAAAAGCATTTTCTCCCATTTGATTTGATTTGATTTTCTCCCAGTTTTCTAGAAATTGGAGTGTGCTTTATATTCCCTAAATATTTAGAATACTCTAACTGGATACTTTCTAAACTTCCAATTCTGTGTGTTAGCATGAAATTAGAAACACAGAAAGCATTTGGGGGTAGGGGAAGGTACCATGTTGCAGAAGATTTGCACATCCTTGGATTGTGCTGTTCCTTCACCTCCCCTCCTTCCCTTTAATTCCTCCAGCCTTCCAAATGGTCTGCTGGGAAATAAGCATACTGCACATAGGTGTATGGGAGATACTGGGTGCTCTGAATCAGTACATGAATGATCTCAGAAACTCTAGGTTGCCATGCCCTAAACTTTACAGCTTGGTTTATCCTGTTATCTGATACATGTTTATGTTGGCTTTTTGCAGTTTAGTAGCGCTGCAGAGAGCTTGCTGGGGAGACCATGCATTAAAAAGGGACTCAAAAATAACTTAAACAAGGTTTTAATAAGAAAAACAAAAACTCCTTATACACTAAATACATCAACAACAAACCAGACCCAACCACCAACCCATCCCCCAGGGTAATGGGAGAGCTAGGTGCTGCTCCTTATATACTACACCCAATTGCCAACACAGCTTAATCAATACAACTCAGCAGCACCTGCTATGTTTCACAGCTGCAAGACTGGGTCTTGTTATCTTGCTCTGGCCCCTTAAAGACATACACATCGGGTGGAACAATGATGAACCTTTACATATAAAGAAACCATTCAACAGTTTATATGTACATATCACCTTCTCAATCTACTTAATGCATTTGATAGTAGACTGATATGAAAAGTCAGCCAACAAGAAAACAGAAGGATCTCAGTCTTTCTCAGACAGTCATTGGAGGAGGTTGTCTGTAGCATAGGATATTTCCAGATCATGTAGTACCATACCATTTATTCAATACGGCAGCAGGACAAAGACTTAGGCTCATGAAACAATGTTTTTCTTAAATGTTTCTTGGTTGTTAAATTTTAGTGAATATTACCAAACTGTATAATTCTTTATAACAAGATATAATGCTCTGGGAAAGCAACTAACATTTTTCATGTGTTTCCATATTTTCTAATCCTTTCTTGATAACCTATACATTTCCTAGGACTTGTATACAGTGCTGATACAGTACTGAATATGTAGCAACATTTTCATTTGGCTGTTTGGTTCTTTGCCTCCCACCATTCCCCAGAGAATAGATTTCCTAGACATTCTTTGGAATGCCTTGTTTTTGTACTTTGCCCGTAAATAGGCATGCATGCATCTAAGGACATCTAAAGACATGTATCCAATTAAGTTGACTCTAGTCCACAAAAGCTCCTTCAGTAATATTTTGTTTAGCCTTTTAAGTTGTCACAAAACTCTTTCTCCCTTTTTTATAAAAGTTAAATGTGTATTCTTTCTGAGATTCATTTTATGATCAATTCATGACAGTTGTGGCCATCTTTCAGATTCTATGCCAGATGAACGAAATAAATATACAGTTCAGTACGTCAGTCATTACTTTCCTGAACAAGGATTAAGTAAGTTACTCATATTTTTAATTCATATAATCTTGTGTCTAGACACAGCTTCTACTGTATGTGCAATTATAAGCAATACAATGAAAGCCATGTATTGCATAATGTAGAGATTTTACAGCCTGATCCTATGCATGTTCACTCACAGTTTCCACTAAGTTCAATAGGGCTTGCTTTCAGGGTAGAGTGCATTGGAAGACAGTTTTAGAGCATAGAGAATGAGCTAATGGAGATGTACACCAGAAGCATAAATTCATGCAAGCAAGAATAAACTCAAAAAAATTATATTTTGTCCTGCCCTTTAAAATAATACTCTGTGTCTGGTTCCGGCCTTTGTTTCCTACAGATATTGGCTGGGACCTAGCCCAACCTTTGAAGCAGATCATTTCACAGAGACTTTTTCTGCCTCCTGCCATCCTTGAACAGATGTGCAACACACCAAGAAGACACCAAGGTGCACTCTCGGGTTGCAAACTTCCTAGGGTGGAAAATATGAGAAAAGAAGCAAAGATTCCACGAAGAAGTAAGTCAACTGAGTACTTGGGGATATACTGTGGTCTAAACCACTGAGCCTTTTGGGCTTGCCGATCAGAAGGTTGGCAGTTCAAATCCTAAACAGGGTGAGCTCCTGTTGCTCGGTCCCTGCTCCTGCCAACCTAGCAGTTCAAAAGCACGCTCCAGCGGGAAGGTAAATGGCGTTTCCGTGTGCTCTGGCTTCCGTCACAGTGTTCCGTTGTGCCAGAAGCGGTTTAGTCATGCTGGCCATATGACCCGGAAAGCTGTCTGTGGACAAATGTCGGCTCCCTCAGCCTGAAAGCGAGATGAGCGCCGCAACCCCATAGTCACCTTTGACTGGACTTAACCGTCCAGGGGTCCTTTACCTTTTTTACTGCATGTAGTAGCACTACAGTTCTTTCTATGAAAGCCCATGGCACATTTTGGGGGGAGGTGCTGTGCATTTGGCTCCTCACACCACCCTGTTGGCCCTGTGCCACTGGGATCTGATCTGAATGATTTGCTGTGCGTAAGGAAACTTTACAGAGGGGGAAAGGTTATTTCATATAAAGGAAGCATTTCCTGAAACATTTTCAGTAGCATATTATTTTTCTTTTCTACTTACAGCCTCTCTCATACATGTGGAGAGTCATCCTAGGTAGGAAAACTTACTATTTGTTATCAGCAATCTTCCATGTGGATTTCTCAGTCACATTCTTTATATCTTTATGATTTGGGTTTGGAAAGAGTGTAACATCCTTCTTGTTTTTAGATTTCTAAAAAACTGTATTATTCAGACGGGCCAACCAGCTCTTATTGATGTGCTTAATGCTTTTATTGGATGATGATGATGAAAAATTATATACAGTGGTACCTTGGTTTTCTAACATCTCTGTTGACGAACATTTCGGTTTTCGAATGCCATAAACCTGGAAGTAAATGCTTCAGTTTTCGAACACGCCTCGGCAGTCGAACATGCCACGCGGCTTCCGCTGAGTGCAAGATCCTGAGGCCTAGCTGTCGGCTGTTGAGTTTTCAAACGTTCCAGAACTCGAACCATATCTTCCGGAACAGATTACATTCAAAAACCGAGGTACCACTATACCATCCTTTATCAAAATATCCCAGGGTGATGTACAACATTTAAAAAAGATTACAGAACATCAATGATAAAAGCATAATAAAAAACAGTCTGACAGACAACCTAATAATAAAATAGTCAATTTAAATGCTACCTTTTTGTGCATTCTTTCAAAAAAAAATTGCACAAAACAGGGTGGAATGGATTTAAGATGAATGAGTGCCAAAAGAACAGGTTTAGGTTAATCTGTCTATCCCTAATTAGAAGAGTTGAACGCAATGGCATTTTGAAATGCTTAACTTGGGATGGATTGTGCCCTGCATCATGGCACCAGTGCGCTATGTCTTAAAATGACAAACTAAAGCTTAAACTAAGACACTGTATTTTATTTTTATTTGTGAATGCTAAATTGTATAGCAATTATTTATTAAACAAGCATTTACGGTATATATCATCTTGGATTTTATACTGCAATTGCTACTTCATTTGATGTATTTATTTTATTTTATTCTGTGGCCTTAATCTGTTTCAGCTCTCTGGTTCTCCAAGCAACTGGAGAAAATAACACTGAAAGGGGTTGTGTCACATTGGAGTTAGGAGAAAAAGAAGTACAAAACATGGCCCTGGCTCAAGAAACACATTTTAAATCTTTACACAACAAAGCTACAACTTGGCGATTAGAGAAGTGTCGACCTGGAAGAGCCACTAGTTGCAGAGAGAAAACATCTTTACAAGCGAAAGGTTTCTTTCCCCCCTTCGTCATTGAAATTATTAGCAAAAGACTCAAGTACAGTGTTACCTTGGGTTAAGAACTGAATTCATTCTGGAGGTCCGTGCTTAACCTGAAACTGTTCTTAACCTGAGGTGCCACTTTAACTAATGGGGCCTCCCTCTGCCGCCGCAGCACAATTTCTGTTCTCATCCTGAAGCAAAGTTCTTAACCCGAGATACTATTTCTGGGTTAGCGGAGTCTGTAACCTGAAGTGTCTGTAACCTGAAGCATCTGTAACCCGAGGTACCACTGTACACTAGTATAGATGGTGCAGCATGTCATCAAAATTCCCATAATGGTCCCCTGTTCTACTCCTCTGCTATATTTATTTCTATATCTCCTCTAATGTATTAATGAATGTTGGGGCTAAGCCCCGAGAGTTGTAACTCAAATTGATCTCTGGAACAAGTAATAATTTACAGGAGTTTTTTGTTTGTTTTTGATCCCAGATCTTCTTGACAACCTGAAACACAATTTAGATGACAAAGAAAGGAAAATAAAGGAGAAATCACCAGCAAGCAATGTTAAACTTGACAGAAACAATGGAGGAAACCATGAAGGAAGTTTTAGACTCAGTGAGCCCTCTCATACACAAGATTTTCTACAACTCTCCTTACCTTTGGTGTCAGAAGGAAAGTATAGGCAAGTCACTGAAAAATACCAGAGGAATGAACAGCAACCTAAGTTGTCCTTAGGTCGGCCCCGGTAAGTGGACAAGACTGCCTGTTTCATGCAACATTCAGTGCGTCTGCTCTGACAAGATGCTTTAGCATTAAACTGTATTGTAGCTTGTAGTCCCTGAAGACAGAATGCTATGCGAAGGAAGAATCTGATGCCAATAGGGACACGGGTGGCGCTGTGGGTAAAACCTCAGCGCCTAGGACTTGCCGATCGTCAGTTGCTCCCGTTGCTCGGTCCCAGCGCCTGCCAACCTAGCAGTTCGAAAGCACCCTCGGGTGCAAGTAGATAAATAGGGACCGCTTACTAGCGGGAAGGTAAACGGCGTTTCCGTGTGCTGTGCTGGCTCGCCAGATGCAGCTTGTCACGCTGGCCACGTGACCCGGAAGTGTCTTTGGACAGCGCTGGCCCCCGGCCTCTTAAGCGAGATGGGCGCACAACCCCAGAGTCGGACACGACTGGCCCGTACGGGCAGGGGTACCTTTACCTTTACCTAGCTTGTGGTCCCTGAAGACAGAATGCTATGCGAAGGAAGAATCTGATGCCAATATTGCACCTGAAACAGTGTAACCTGCACTGTCCATGCTGCTTCCACAATTGCTACTCTTCATCATTCACAGGCATCTTCTACACACTGGGGGAAACCAATGTACCAAGAGAGCATAAACTCTTCCATGCCAATATGCCCCTAGAATTCATGTTGCCACTCAGTGGGACCCCATACTCTCTGGGTGGAGTTATTTCAGTCTCCCAATAGCATACATGACTATTCTATGAAATCAAGTTTATGCAAATAAGAGTTTGGATTTTCTGTTCCAATGCTTAAGAAGCCCCTTGATACAGATGGTCAGTGGGCTGGTTCATACATTGCACTTAGACATAGTTTGTTTTAAACCATGGCTTAATCATGAATGTGCCTTCTATGCCTCCCTGCAAATGTAGCTTTTCCCACCCTGAGGGTGCTGTTCATGGCACAAACAAACCATAGTATGGGTTGCAGTATTGTGCAAACCTAGATCATTTTTTTTCTTTTATTTTTTTAAAAAACACACAAGTTTTCCTCAAACTAACTCTGAGTGGTTGTTGTTGTTATTACATATATTAGTCACATTTCTTTGCCATGGCAACTCAAAGTGACTTACAAAATGACAAAAAACCCAAAGACAACAACCCACATATATACATTAAAACCAAAGAGAAAGAATACATTAAAATATCCAACCCACTCTAAAAAGCAATAGATAGTTAAGAGCCAAATGCCTGGTTAAAAAGGAATGCTTCTACATGGCATCTGAAGGTATGTAATGACAGTGCCAGATGAGCCCCCATTTCACAAATGGGGAGCCACCATCGAAAAGGCCTGTTCTTGTATTGCCCGTCTCCTGATCTTCCATGGAGGGGCACACAAAGAAGGACCTCAGATGGTGACCACAGTCTCTGGGAGACTCATACAGGGAGATACATTCCTTGAGCTATTGGGAGTCCTGTGTTACAGAAGGCATTAAAGGTCAAAACCAGAAATTTAAATTGGGATCATAAATCAGTTGATAGCCAGTGCAGTCAGGCCAGGATTGGTGTTATGTGCTCAGACCACTTGCCCCAGTGAGCAGCCTGGCTGCTGAATTCTGCACTAGCTGAAGTTTCTGAATCATCTTCAAAGGCACCCCCACATCTCACTCCTAGAGGTTACCAGTGCTTAGACAACAGAAGTTAGGTTATTCCTATCCAGATATGGGCATAGCTGGGCCACCAGCTGATAGGTGCTCTGCACTACAGAGGACACCTGAGCTTCAAGTGATGGCAATGAATCCAGAAGTTTCCCCAGGTTACATGCCAGCACCTTCTAGGGTAATGTAACCCCATCAAGAGCAGGTCACTTCCCATCTATCCAGTACATAAGCAAGGCAAGACATTGGTCCAGGACATCCACTGCACACCTGCAGATGTAAAGGAGTAGCAGAGCTGTGTGTCCTCAGCATATTGCTGACAATGTATTCCAAAACTCCAGAAATTGGGCCTAGTACAGGTGTTCCCCCTTTACCCCACCTTTTGGCAACACTGGGGCTTTATAAATGAGTATTTAAATATAGGCAGTGGTGGGTTACCTTACAAGAAGGCACAGAAAAGGCAAGGCAGTGGTGGTTCAAGAAACACTTTGGTGGCGGTACATTTAGATTAGGTTTTTATAAAGATTATATTAGCCCAGTAGGACCCCACATTCTGGATTGACTAAAGCAAGGTAGGAATAACAGGAGACCATGCCAGGAAGATGAAGGTTCATATTAGTCTTTATATGTGACTTTAGAGTGTTCAAAGCACGTCGCATACCTTTTCTCTCAAGATTACAGTAGCCCAGGCAACAAGTAACCACAGATCTTAGCAGCAACATCCTGAGGAGTTCCATTCTCATTTACTGGTGCTTGGAAACCAGGTGCCTTCTAAATAGTTCTTTGAGAAGAAGCTGGCTTATGAAGTAAAATGTAAACAATAAATGGAGGCTGCCTGGTTGGGATGACAATTTAGTGGATTTGTCCTTATGAGGGGGACACTGAGACCAATTTCCTTTGTTTATCTGTGCAGACCTCGCTTGGCTACACTAATGAATACAAAAGGGACCCACAAGACACTTTTACTGAAACGCTGTGAGGATGATGAAGCATCCACTTCTACATCTCTACTGCACACTGGGCCAAAAATGGCAGTAAAAAAGTTACTGTGCCAAAGTGAGAGCAAGTTTTTTTCAAAGAGACGCAAAAGTGAGTGCCTAAATCACAGGCCTTCAATGCAAGACCTTTCAGCAACAACTGAGAGAATTTCCTTTCACGCTTAGAAACAGGTGCCATTTCTTTTCAGGCAGCTAACAAGCCAATGCATACCACTGCAAAGGCTCCATCCGGATGGACAACCTGCAATGATATCTTCAGAAATTATTGCTTCAGTTTCTTGGATGTGGTGCTGGGAAAATGCAAAAAAAAAAAAAAAAAAGTATCTTCATCGTACAGCACTTGTGCCATGCGCAGGCTTGGAATACAGGATACAAAAATATGCTGGAACATCACCCATGAGGCTTCTGTGACAGATAAAAATGAAACCAAAATATGAACTCGTTTATGTTTATTGCTGACAAATTTTACAGGGAAGCAAGTCTAGTCATTTTACTTTTGAATTTCACTTGCTTTAAAACTGATGCTGTTTTTTAAAAAATGATTAACTGAAAAAGGAGGGATTGGGGTAGTGTTTCTCAGTACTAAAACCTATTAGACAAATTAAAAAATCATAGTGAGGATCATCATCCAATCTTGTCTTAAATCTAAAAAGAGAAATAACAAATGATCCGCAGGAAGGAATTGCTTTTCTACAGTTAGTCAAAATGATATTAAATTGGAGGTTCCAGTCAAGCACTGTATTTTCCAACAATGCTCTTCCTAATGGCCAAGATCTGCCTATAGTGTCTACTCACAAGTCCCTTTTAGCAAAGGTTCCAGAAATGTTACCGTAATTAAAAGTTTCCTTCTTGTAGGTTCAGCCATTTTATTGGTTCCTGTAGGGTAACGTTCCCATTAGTTGCTTGAAATGCAGCAAGCTGCATTCACACAAAATTGTTCACATCAGAGCAGGGAGATGTCATCACCTGACACGCAGGACCTTTTTTGGTTTCCCCACCCCTGGAACTCCTGTTCATTAAGCCATCTGTGTCTGTGTGTTCATCTGCACCTGCACTAAGGCAGCTAGGGTAGGTTCACATTACTGTTTACTCCGCACTCCATTTTCTAATCAGTTTGAAGCTGGTTTGAGGGGAGGAAACACATCAAACAGCAGTTTCTTGACAGTATTTGTTAAGAAACTACAGGATCAATTTGCATTGTGGCTTAAATTGTGAATGCAGTTTCAAAAATTAGTGGGAGAGCACTGAATAAGTAAGCAGTAATGTGAGTATACCTTTACTTTCTGTTCCAGAGGGAAAGGGGAGATAAAACTTTAATTATTTCCCTCTCATTTTTTTGTTTTATAGTTGTATTTTGCTGCTCTTAAAAATGGGGGAGGGGTGGATAATGCAAGACTTATATTGAATCCCACCCCCAGCTGTGGTATTTTTTGTTTTATAGTTGTATTTTGCTGCTCTTAAAAATGGGGGAGGGGTGGATAATGCAAGACTTATATTGAATTCCACCCCCAGCTGTGGTATAGACTGGGGAAATGACATGGGTAAAGGATGAAAACTACATTCCCCCAGTGCCATGGTTCCAGTCTGAATCCACAGGCCACATTTAGTCTTTACAAAACTGAAGGAAGATCTCCCACTTATTGGTATCCATCTGTCTTGAGACACAATGGAGTGAGCCCCTGGGGATGAAGTCAAACCTCTTTTCAGCAATGACGTGACCTCCCCAGGGTGTGTATGGAGGTCCTCGGCTACCTAGATGACAAGAGTCCACTCAGCATCGCTGATGTGGTCCAAAGGAAGGCAGTTTGGCACCAGCTTGGCTGCAGGAGTTGCAAGAAGGAGGTGTACAGGTGCCATCCAGCCATCTTAAGAGAATTCATCACAATCCCCAAAACAACAGGCTAAAGCTGCACAATTCTAACAAAAGGCACAGAAGCTTTGAAAAACCATTTACCTGTGCACATTGGACAGGCTGGTGCTGCACTGTGAGGGGCTTCATATTCAGTTGTGCATCATAGTGCTACAGGGCACGGCAATGCTGTGGTTAGCTGTGCTGGTCCAGTCTTCTTACAGGATATGCCCCCACTCCCTGCATTTTAGCACCTTGCTGCAGTCCTCTTACTGCAGATCTCAGCAAATAAACCTGGGTACACCTGTGGATTGTTCTTTTTAGATTGCTACAATAAACGTTTTGAAATTTGCATTGATGAAACCAATGAATTCAAAAGAGCCAACTCATGATACCATCATGAGATCCCACACCCAGGAGTGTGCAACATGAAATGACAAGAAGGTGCAATGTGATGAGTATTTGTGGGGGGTTTTAAGCACTTATAAATCCATATTGATTATAAATTAGTTACCACCCAAAGAGTCTGGAATTACTGGGATAAATTTCAGAGCACCAGCATAATGTTTCCATGTGAAAGTGGCCAAATTATGACTCTAGCAACAACCCACATCACCGGGCCATATTATGGTTGAGCAATACTCAGCTGCTAAGTAACTTTATGCCTGCCTTGCAGAGGCAGTTTCAAATGCCCTACAGCAAGCAGCCAGGGGATAAAAGCCCTGGGACGACGTCAGAGTTTGCACTTGCATGCTATTTCTGCGCATGCACTTGGACTCACTACTACTGTACTCTAGTGAAGCGTGCGTCCCTTTTCTATCACGGTGCATATGAGGTTCTGCCTCCGCTAACAAAAGCCTTCCCTCCCAACAAAAACCCTGGCTACGCCCATGTCATGTACAGAAAGTTTTCCGTTTTGTTTCCTGGAAAGGCTCTTGTTGCATTTAAGAAACCGCATGATAAACACACCCATTTCCAGGAAAAAAAATCACCCCTTATCGCCGCCTGTTGTGCAGCTGCGTTAAAAAGAAAAGAAAAGATGTCTTACCCCCCTGCGGGGAGTTTTGTTTTGCATCCCTGATCAACTTAAAATGAAGCTCATTGGTCACACCTGATTAGATGAGCTGGGAGGTAGAGAAGCAAGTACTAGGTAAAACGTCAAGTCAACTTTCACAAAAAAATAGATCATGCAGCTTGGAGGGCGACAGTAAACACGCGCCATCCGCGAAAAAGCCAATCAGACCGAAAACGAAAGAGAAATCTGCTGAGAGTGCGGCACGTGACGGATGGCTCTGCTTTCCCAAACGAGCAAGTAAACAAGCGCCTTAGATCGACTTCTGCGTTGGAGGGCAGCGCATCTCGCCACTGCCGAGCTCCGCGAGCAAGTAAATATTCTTCCCATTTGCTCCCCGCTTGCTTGCGCTTTTCTTTTTGTAACGCATAGAGAACTTTTAAAGGAATAATTTGGGGTTAGGGACGCGGAGATTCACTCCAGTATTTGACGGCAACCAGTTTGCTCGTCGTTCCGACTTTGGGCAACTCGGTGCTAAATCACTTTGCGCAGGTTTCGCCGCAGCTCTGGAGGAAGAGAAGCAACGAGTGCATTTGCTGTCGATTTTCGCTTAGTGATGGTCTCGCTTTTCTCCAACGCGGGTGGGCAGGTTTTTCCAAGCATTGGAAATAATAAAAAGACAGCAAATACAGTTTGTTTGTTTGTTTGTTTGTTTTGGGGGGGAGCTGGCTTGCAGCGTGTCCGGCTATTTTCTGGCAGCGTGTGACAACGCTACTTCTGAAACACGCTTGGCGTGTTAAACCCAACCCGCTTTAGGCTTACTCCCATGGCACGTCTGGAAGGCCTGAAGAGCGACGAGGGTTGGGAGGGGCATGGCGCACCCATTCCCATACACTTGGGGGTCGGGGCAAAGGGTGTCCGGCCATATCCGGCACGAATTGCTCCCCCTGAGGTGAAAAGGAGGGCTGAAGGCCGAGTTTGGGAGAGGCATTTAGCCGCTCCGTGATGGGGCGCCTCATTTTTGAGCTGGGGAGAGAGGCGGGTCAGAGAGCAGCGCCTCCCGGAGGTCAGTTTGGAAATCCTCTTTCTGCACCTGGCTCACCTCACCTCTCCCCCCCCCCCATAAAGACCCCTCAGGCTGGCTTGAAGCTCCTTTCCCCGAGTCTCGTTTTTCCTGTTCTCTTCCCGAACAGACCCTGGAAGTTACTTTTAAAGGGGCGTTTGTGTGCCTGTGTCTGTCTTAGGCCCACTCCCGTTGCTGCAGGTATCCTGCTTCTGCCTCTTCCCATTTCCCCCCTCTAGACCCTTAAGCCACTTGCCTCCCGCCCCGCCTCCCGTCCACTTGTTGTTCTGTGTTCTCGACAAAACTTCCTTCTTCCCCGCCCCGGGCGCGCTATTGTTCTCCTTCCTGCTTATCTCTCTTGCTTGCTCTCCTGTTAATTTTCCCTGCCCCCCCCCCCCAGCAAACTTTTCCTTCTAAGCTTTTTCCTCGCACCTCCCCTTGGTGCAACCCAGCCCGCCTCTTCTTATTTTGCTTTCGCTTTTGCTGAACACTCAGCCTCTCTCGAAGTGCGTCGGTGAATCTGAAAGCTTGCGAAGTGAGTAAACATTAACGATTTTGGGTGATGATTGCTCCTGCAGGCGGCTCTCGTCTTCAGAGCCCCTTGGCCGCGCGATCTCCTCGATATTTCTGTTTATTTCTCCTGCCTCTCTCCGTCTTTGGGAAAAATGCACGCAATCTCCCTAGGGACTGTAGTCTTGTCCAGCCCAGTGGCGTCCGCAAGTGTGTGGGGGGGGTCAGTCCTCCCACCCCTAATGGCAGAACGCCGAGATTTCAAAGCTCCAAAATGGTTTATTATAGCCTTTGTAGAGCTGGAGATACCTATTGGGCAAAGTCTGGTTTGTTTGGTTCCTATCTTTCCTGTTTTTAGCCAATACGCGAAGTGGTAGCAATGATTGACATTTATGTAGGAAAGCATCTAGCCAATTGGACAAAAACAGAGTCTACAGTACAGTACAGTACAGTACAGTAGTTGGAAATCACTGTTTCCGTCTTATTTTAACACTGTTTGTGCTCCCTGAAGGATGATTGCTGTTGCCCTGTAGAAAACAGTTCAGATATTCAGAATTTCAACACTTGCTTTCACCTGCCTCCTGCCTGGAGGGGTATTGTTCTTGCCATTTGGATGTTTTGTATTTTATTGTTAGGTATTGTTTCTGTGTTTGTTAACATGAGATGTTTGTTTGATATTAGTGTTTAAATCATGTTCTGTTTTGTAACCTAATGAATCACCTTAAAATAAT